TCCCTCGATCACTACACTCTCATGTTGCCTTTCAAAGGAACCTAGAGTATTTTACAAAAATTGGCTGTGTGTTCATTCACAGATGGAGGCACAAAAGTTAAATGACTTCACAAGGTCTCAGAGACAGAAACTGAACCCTAGAATCCCAACTCTATACTATATACAAAGACTATATAGCCTGTCAAAAAGCGAGAGTCCCACTATTTAAATTTGGGCAGGTCAACATGGACTGCAAAAGGAACACCCTCAACACAGAGGCCTCAAACTGCCAAATTTCAAGTCTCTGCTCCATAACTTGCAGATTCTAGAACTTCTCAAATGAAAGGTCGCCAGAATGTTCTAACAATGTATTTTTCCCTAGCTTCATTCTCAGAAACGGCTGAACCATTTTCAATGAAGATTTAAAAAAAAAAAAGCTGGGGCAGACACCCAAGATGGAAAAATTAAAGCCTGAATAATTCTGGTAAAGTTACGTGCAACTGAAAATAGGGTCTTATAATGGGAAATGTCATACAACTTAATTGTCTATGTGACCTGCCACGCCTAATGTACCGATAGTCAACGTTTGCTGCTTAAGTACATATAACCACAGATCCTGAGGGTCTCTGAGGGCCATGTAAAAAGATATTTGTAAAGTTGTATTTGTAATAACGTACCCGCTTGGCATCAAAGAGATAACTGCGGCCTTCAACCCTCCATTGCTCCTTCTTTTCCTGTTCAATTATTGACTCCAGGTGGTTGATTGAATCATTTTTCACAGCTAAAGCTTTGGCAACTTTCTCCTGAAATAAGAAGGAACTTTAAAATCCAGACTGAAACGTAAGAAAGGGAAAGATCAACCGCTTATCTGATTGTTCAAAACTGCACTGTCTCCTTAAACTGTAACTTATCAGTTCTGAGGGTGAAGAGGGGCAGCCACGAACAGTAACTGAAATTCAAGCTGCCATGTTTAAAGCTTAAGCCTGGTCTACGCTTAAAACATACATAAATGCAGTTTTACCAGCACAGATGAGTTTCTGTCAGTATAGCTTATTTCAATCAGGGACCCAATATAAGCTACAAGGCAAGCACTTTTCTGTTAAGGGCTTGTGTACACTGGAAAAGGTTGACCGTTACAGATATACCTGCAAACAATCCTAGCGTAGATGCAGCTTATTCTGGCAAAAGCCTTTTTACTAGTGGAACTTATACCCAATTACCCAACTGAAATAAGCGACATCAACAAAAGCACTGGTAAATCAGGTCTACAGTACAAGTTTATTTAGGCCAAGACCTTGTCTACACTAGAAAGAAGCTATAGTTATACAAGCAAACCCTTTCTAGCATAGAAAAGGCCTTTGCAGAAAAGAACCAAGGAACACACATAAAAGAGTACAGAAATAAAATAGCATGCCCCCAAAATATGAAGAATGAGGCAACGAGGTCTCTAATTTCCAGACTAAATTCCTCCATTTCACTCTGAAGTAGATGTAAAAGACTGCAATGCACTGGCTTCAAAATGCATGTACATGGTTACATTGTTATTTCTAAGAAACCCCACACCAGCTAAAAAGCAGGTAAGTTTGAAAGTCAGAGGCTTATGCTCCCCAAGCATCCAAGTCACTGCTGAAAATGGGAATTAAGCTGCTTTTGAAAAATGCTACTCAAATTCTACATATATGGATATTGATTCATGACACCAACTATAAATGCATACTATGCCTCAGCCCTTTAATTTTAGATTGTGACACCCATGGCAAAATACCATAAAATAAGCATTTTGCAAACAGGTGGCTTCTAAACATGCATGACATAGTCAAGTTCTGGCTCCCTTAGCCAACAGGGCCTGGAAGTACTGTTCTGATGAGAGTTTCATCCATTTCTTCAGGATTAGTAGATCATCAGTCAAAATGCAAGAACACTTAGTTGCAAGACAGTCACACTGTACACAATTCTACATCGAACCTGTCCATGAATTTAAATTAAGTTGCCTGTAAGTGTGCCCTGTAAGATTTATTTGGCACAGAACACCTATTGTAAAGTGCTTTGTAGGCTTTCTGCACTGTACAAAGAGAACTATCATTAAAAAAGCCATTACTTTTCTTCAATATTAGAAGAACTGATGAACTTTTTTATTTTTTTTAAATTTGCCTTCTTAATAACGGTTTATTTCCAAACTGATTTTAGCAACTGAACACCTGGGATTGTTGCATTGAGAATCAGTGTCAAGTTAGATTATGTTCTCTTTTTTTCTTACCTCATTGAGCCTATCAGCAAAAGCTGCTACATCACCCCCATATTTTTTAACTATATAGATGAGGACTCCCACTATGCAGGCACCTGCAATCGTTTCATGGTTGACTATATAGATTTCCTTGGAGAGAAGGTAGAACAGTAGCCCAGTCCCCAGCACATAGGGCCCTAAAATAGATAAAAAGGATACTGTTTTAAATACATCACTTGGAAACAGATCCATTCCAAGTTCAACTGACTGAAAGCAGAGCTAGGTATTTTAATTATTTTAAGTTACATAGGAATATTGAAGGACTTGTCACACTTCTCCACAAAAAGGATGACTCCGGTAGAAGAACGAGACAGACTCCATCTTACACCATTCCCAGAGATATACTGTTATATGAAGACTTCCATCACCAGAAAGTAACCATGGAACGCCTAATATGTTACCGGTAACTTCTGCTGCCCTCTCAGCATAGGGCATTAACCTCCATGTTTGGAAGTTACTGTGAGCCAGCAGCTGCAAAAACTTTTCCGCTAATCAGGCCTATAACACACACTTCGGACTTATCCTTTACTGAAAGCTAAAGTCTGTAAGGTGCCCTCTGATCAACTCCCCCATTTGAGTCCCAGACTTCAAAAGAGTTGAAGGTTCTCAGTATCTCAGAGGGAAACTTATCACCATGCAGAATCAAGTCTATAATTAGTACAATACCCTAAACAGAGTGTGTTCTTTCCCACCACAAAAGCAAATTCATTACCCAAATCAATGTCAAGTTACTCACACCAGTAAAACCTAAACTTTTCAGACACTTTGCCTCACTTGATGGCCATAGCAAGTGTGCAGCACCAAGAAATCAAAATCAAACCCACAAAGGTACAACACACTAACCTGTGACTCCTGTTTTAGGATACAGGAACTGGAAAAATTCCTCCGGGATCAACCCATGACGAACTTGCCCTCCTTTCTCAGGGAGAGGTGGTAAAGGAGCCAAGCAGTGCTGACCTGTGTGAAATGGTCTAGACGCATGTAATACACTATGAGTAAAAACAGATTTTCTGTGAAGTGTATTCCTTTGCAAAAAAGAAGTCTCAAATGAAGTTAGGTTTCAGAGTAGGACACTTGTTCTTATATGAGGGCCCCAAAATATTTTCAGTTATGTAGAAGTCAAAACTGTATACAAAACATTCAAAATGGACTTTGGTTAATGCTTATACAAATTTACCCTTGGTAAACACATCTATTTATTTGCATAGATTTGGTAGATTTTACCTAGTTTCACATGAGCAAATGGGCACACATAGAGGTTGCATGTATATGGAAAAAGAAAAAAGACCTTCACGATCCTGTCTGAAGATTCACAGCAGGGACTTAAATGAGAAATTGTAGCAAATCTATACTTCTACAAGAATACTTTTCATTCCTTTAATTTTCTACTGAAGGGTCTCAAGATGCTTAACAAAAAAATTATTCTTCCAGATGCATAACGGAAGCAAATTCTATTATCACGATTTAACAGGTAAATAGACTGAAAATTTAGGTGACTTGCCCATGGTCCAACAAACAGAAGCATCCCAACCTCCAGAACCCTGATCATGTTAAAAAGTTTGATCAGAAGCTAGCTGAGTGTTGCCAAAGCAGGGTGGATAATAGCACTCAAATAGCTACCAGAAGGTAGCTCAAATATTAGGGCCTGACAAAGTTGCACCATTCAAGCTAAATGTGTTACTTTATACCAATTTAAACTGGTCTAACTTTGTTGATAGTCTTGAGCTGAAATAACACTACTGATATTGTATTTGCTGGTATCTGTACTAGGCAGAAGCTAGCTAAACCAACATAACCAGTTTGGAAATTACCCCCTCTATAAAGTGCCTGGAGATCTACTCACAAAAAGTGTGATAAGAACTAGCCATTATCATCACTCCATTAAACAGATATAACAGTGTATACACTCACTGGTTGAATTAAGTGGGCATAGGAGTTAAACCAGCACAACCGCCTGCTTATGCAAACGCTTCATCTAACCTAAAGAGGGATTCACAGAAGAGACTGTCACGGAGTTTTTAGCTCCATGCCAAGGTAGTACAGGTCATGTCTAGCACAGCCAGCAACCCTAACCCCCAGCCCCAGGAACAGGCCCCCAGAATCTTAATTCCTAGTCCCCCGTCTCCCCACAGACCCCACTAGAAACAGAACCCAGGAGTCCTGACTGCCCCCCACCGCAACCCAACCGGAGGGGGAAGAGAACCCAGGCGTCCTGACCTTCCCCCCCCCACCGCAACCCAACCGGAGGGGGAAGAGAACCCAGGCGTCCTGACCTCCCCCCCACCCCCGCCCGGGGCAGGCCCAGAAGCCCGGCGCCTCGCCCGGGCCGCACTTACCCCACGGAGAGGGAGGGAGCCAGGCTCTTCAGCGCCGCCGGAGCTGGGGAGGACACAGAGCGATCAGCGCAAGGCCCGGGCCCGCCCGCGCCCAGCCGCCCCCCGCCCCGGGGACGGGCCCCACTCACCGGCGCGCAGGCCCAGGCGGGACAGCATTGTCGGCACGGCTGCGGCGCTGCCCTCTCCGTCCCGGTGACCCCAGCCGCGGCGGCAGCAAGATGGCTGCGGAGAATGAAGCCTCGCGAGAGGAGCTTGGGAACACCCCAAATCTCGCGAGGGTGAGGGCGAGAGCGGTAAAAGTATCGCGAGAGGAGTCGTAATTCGCCTGTAATTTCGCGGAGCGCGGGGGGGCGGGGCTCGGGGCTCGGGCAAGTCTCGCGAGAGGAGCGGCAGGGCGGTGGCGGGGGGCGGGGCCCAGTCGGGGTGTCCCGGGAGTAGCACGTGGAGGCTGCCGGGGTCCGTCTGCTCGTGCCTGGGGGAGTCGCGCGCTGCCGCCATGCACGAGCCGGAGCAGCCCGACGGGGGGGCCTCGGGCGGGCCCGAGTGGAACATCCCGCCCAACGCGCCCGCCTGCATGGAGCGCCACCTGGACGGGGCCCACTACCGCCCAGGTACCCCCGCCGCCGGGCCCCCGGGGTGGGCCCCCTCCGGCCCCCCCAGCGCCCCCTGGGGCACGTGCTTCCCGTGCACCTTGGCACCTGCCCCCCTGGAGCATTGCCCCTGGGATGCGTCCCCCCGATCCCTCCCAACGCCCCCTGCACCCCCTGGGGCACGTCCTTCCCGTGCACCCTGCCCCTTGGCACCTGCCCCCCTGGAGCATTGCCCCTGGGATGCGTCCCCCCGATCCCCCCCAACGCCCCCTGCACCCCCTGGGGCACGTGCTTCCCGTGCACCCTGCCCCTTGATACCTGCCCCCCTGGAGCATTGCCCCTGGGATGTGCCCCCCGATCCCCCCCCAGCGCCCCCTGGGGCACGTTCTTCCCGTGCACCTTGCCCCTTGGCACCTGCGCCCCTGGAGCATTGCCCCTTTGCCCCTGGGGGGGCAAGGGCCCAGCTCCCCCCAGCGCCCCCTGCACCCCCTGGGGCATGTCTTCCCGTGCACCCTGCCCCTTGGCACCTGCGCCCCTGGAGCATTGCCCCTGGGATGTGTCCCCCCGATCCCCCCCCAACGCCCCCTGCACCCCCTGGGGCACGTGCTTCCCGTGCACCCTGCCCCTTGGCACCTGCGCCCCTGGAGCATTGCCCCTGGGAGGGGCCCCCCCGATCCCCTGCCTCCCCCCCCATGACCCCTGCACCCCTGGGGCATGTGCTTCCCGTGCACCCTGCCCCTTGGCACCTGCGCCCCTGGAGCATTGCCCCTGGGAGGGGCCCCCCCGATCCCCTGCCTCCCCCCCCCATGACCCCTGCACCCCCTGGGGCACGTCCTTCCCGTGCACCCTGCCCCTTGATACCTGCCCCCCTGGAGCATTGCCCCTGGGATGCGTCCCCCCGATCCCCCCAACGCCCCCTGCACCCCCTGGGGCACGTCCTTCCCGTGCACCCTGCCCCTTGGCACCTGCGCCCCTGGAGCATTGCCCCTGGGGTGGGCCCCCCCGACCCGATCCCCCCCAGCGCCCCCTGCACCCCCTGGGGCATGTGCTTCCCGTGCACCCTGCCCCTTGGCACCTGCGCCCCTGGAGCATTGCCCCTGGGAGGGGCCCCCCCGATCCCCTGCCTCCCCCCCCGATCCCCTGCCTCCCCCCCACGACCCCTGCACCCCCTGGGGCATGTGCTTCCCATGCACCCTGCCCCTTGGCACCCTCGCCGTGCGCCCCTGTAGCATTGCCCCACGCTGTGCCCCCAGGACACCTCGTCTGTCCTGAACCTGGACAGCACTCAGTCCCCAGCCCGTGGCCTGCGCCCCTCAGTGGCTAACGCCTACCCCTAACGCGAACTGTTCTGCACCCCCACATTCCAGTGCACATCCTCTCCCTGGCACACGTGAGCCCCAGAATTTCCCCGGGTGATCCCAAACACTGTGTTCTGGGGGATTCCGAACATTCTCCTTCCCTTCTGGGACATGGTGCATCACAGCTACTGCCTAGCGATACTCATCATACAGCCCCTGGGATACCCTGCAGCCAAGTGTTACCCTCCTGAGGTCGCACTTCTGAACAGTTTCACACCCCGAGAGAGAGCTCCTGGGTTGTCTCTTGGGACCTTGCAGGGCTCTACCGTTTTCTCACACCTGCCTACAGTGCAACCACTGGGCGTTGCTCCACCATCCCCTAAGATCTGTTCATTCAGTGCAGGTCCCAAAGACACCATTCATACCCCCATAGAATTTAGAAATAGAATAGAAAAATCCACACTCCCGTGTGACACAGTTAAACTGACCTGCCAGCCAGTGTGGACCGTACTAGTTCAATGGGGGACTTCTCCCATCGACCTAGCTACCCCTTCTCTGGAAGGTGGAGTACCTACGCCAGTGGGAGAAGCCCTCTGGTCAGTGTAGGTAGCGTCTTCACTGACCTGGTGCACCTGTGCCGCTGTAGCATTTTAAGTGTAGATAAGCTCTTAGTTAGCATGTGTTAGCTCAGTCAAACCAAAACTTTATCAGTCAAGACAAAGCTTTAGTTAACCTAGATAACCTGAGTTCTGTATTGTGCTTTACGAATAGGCTCAGTATATCAGGAATTGTGGTATTTAACTCTCTCTCTCATTTTTATCTCTTTTGCAGATGGAGCTCTTCTCCTGGGTGCTTCCAGTTTGAGTGGACGTTGCTGGGTGGGTTCCATTTGGGTATTTAAGGATCCAAAACGGGCCCCTAATGAAGGTTTTTGCTCTGCTGGGGTTCAGACGGAAGCAGGCGTAGCGGATCTGAAATGGGTAGCGGATAAAGGAATACTAGTGGCCTCAGATTCTGGTAAATTGAAATGGATTGCATTTTTATACCTCTGTAGTTTGTCCGTAATGTGTGGGCATGATCAGTAGTTAGCCTGGTGCAGTTCAAGGGAGTTATCTAGGATGCCATATGGAAGGAAGTTGACCACATGAAGGGAACCAGCCCAGTGGTCCGTATTGACCAGAAGTGGGTGTGTCTGTGGGATTAAAAATGTTTCAGAATTTTTTTTTTTTTTTAAAGCAAACATTGTGGACATGCAGATGAGCAAACTGTTGTTGACCAATGTTTGAAATGACAGGGGAACATGTACAAAGCAGATTTATGTGTACAGACCTACAATGCAAAATGAGTTGCACTGCTGGATTCCAGCCCCTTACCTGGGCTCTCAGCTGAGACCGTGACAATTCTGAACCTTGGTAAACAATGCCTGAACACAGATTTGGAATTAAGACACCCGAACCGTGTTCCTGGCCCAACTGTAAGTCCACAGGGAAGTGATGTCACAGTTCTGTGCCGTATTCCCATCTGTAAAATAAGAATAACAGGGACTGTCTTGTTTGTTCTGTTTGTACAGCACCTGGCATTATGGGGTCCTGGGCCATGCCTCGGGCTCCTAGGTGACATGAGTAATAATAATAATTTATCTCGGAGGGATGTTCCATATTCTGTAGTTTAGGGTTTTCTGTGACACTCATCACCATAATATTGAAGCATTGTTAAGGTTTTTGATTGCATGTGTTGTAACATGCTTTGAAAATAAAAACCACCCTGTAAGTGCTACCTAATATTCTTAATATGATCATGGTGGCATTTTTGAAAACTTTCTTGCACTTTCTCTCTGTTAATTGATTTGTCTATGGGGGTATTTCCATTTAGATCCCATCTGGTTCGCCGCAGGGCCCTTCTGGGTAATGAGTTCTCTTGGTAATAGAACATCTTCTCCCCCGGTCTTTTGTGTTTTTTCTTGGTTGGACCCTCTTGGTAAAATGGTTGGCTTTCCCTGTTCTCCTTTAGGTGCTGTGGAGCTCTGGGAGTTGGATGAGAACGAAACTCTAATAGTGAACAAGTTTTGTAAATATGAGCATGACGACATTGTGACAACAGTGAGCGTTTTCACTAATGCCACTCAGGCGGTTAGTGGCAGCAAAGACTTCTGGTTAGTTTTCTTTGCATTCGTGCTTCTCTCTCTTGTTTTGAGTGAATCATCCCTCGCTCTTCCTAACTGGTTGTGTTCTTACTTGTAGCGTGAAGGTTTGGGACATCCCACAGCAAACAGTGCTGCACTCTTACAGAGGTGAGTGCCAAATTGACTTATGGATTTTGCTTCTCCTGTTCACTTCTAGGAGCTGCTTTGGGAGTCTGGATTTCAAATCCAGCTGTTCTCGGTCTAATAAAACACACACTGCTCTAATAAAATGCACAGAGCTGATATATATGCAGTATCCTGGCTGGTGACCACACCACAATCTTTGACCCAAAATTATTTACTTTGGAATTCTTACCACTAACCCCAGTTGTATTTATCCTGATTATAATTCATGATGCTCAGCTTTCAAGGAAAAATGACAGTACAATAAATTTCAAATGGACAGTGTTTATGATTTAACAAAATTTACAAAGTTGTCTGTTTTGTGGGATTATCCATAGGTTTGTAGGCTTCCTAGAATTTTTCTAGCCCACATCTTTCCAGGGATGTGTGTCATTCCCCTCGCTCTCATTTCTTCCTCCAAACATTGTACTGACAAGTGACAGTTCTCCTCTCTGTGGATCCATTGTACGGTAGTTGTGCTGGGCTGAAAATATTTCTCCCCTAGAATTTTATATTTATTACTTTATAATACAAGTTTTTGTGAATTTAGAGCTGATGGAAGATGGAGGTGTAACTTCCCTCCTGGCCACAGCCCAGGTAGAAGCAGTGCAAGTGAGCCACCCAGTGCCCCTCTTTGGCTAGGTCGCATACAGACTTGATTCACATTCCCAACACTTCAGTAGCTTTATCCTTTTTTCTTTTGATAGCTCATTCCAGCCCAGTGACATGTGTGGCCTCTTGTCCTGGTAAGGACACAGTGTTCCTGTCCTGTGCTGAGGTAAAACCAACTCTGTCTCCAAATCTCTATGGTATAAATCTGATTTGGCCTGTGAACTCTGCAGTTAAAACATGTATTTACGTTTTCAATAAGTAGCACATCGTGTTTTTTGTCATCTTGAAGCATTCCAGTTTGGCACGTTCATTGGTCCATAACTTACAATGATAATTTGTATTGACTACATTGAATATGCTGTAGGCTAGCTGTGTAGTTGTTAACCCTCAGTCTGTACTGAGGGTATATCTACCCCAGTTTAAACTCTTATTGCAGATTACAGCACCAGAGCAGTGCAGAGGTTGCACCGGTCTGAAATCAGGATAGGCTGCATTGGTGCACTGCATCTATACTGGGAGTGTACACTGGTGTAGCTACCATGATACAAATAATCTCAGTTTAGAGAGACCTTAAACCTGGGGTGTGGGAGGGAAAAGACGGACTTATAGTTAAGGATGGGAAGTCACTATACAATTGCAAAATATTGTTATGAAAATATACATAATTTCTGCTTTTAGCAGTTGTCACAATTTGAAAGAAAACCCTCTTGAATGAAATCATCTGAATCAAAATATTTATGTGCTTCTCAGTTATGAATTTGCCATATAGATTGGAATGGATTCCGATTTGTTTAATATGTTATCAGAGTATTCTGATTCAAATACACAATATTGCCTCTAACTGATAATGCTTAGCAGTTATACAGCAGTACTTATACTTTGAAATCCTATAGAAACACTGATCCCCACTCTGGTGTGGTAGGTAAGTGTGACTGCCCCCATTTTAGAGAGGGGGAACTAAAAGCACAGCGTGATTTATCCAAGCCCGTGGAGAGAGTGAGTGGGAGAACAGCAATTACTACTCCTGATTCCCAGTCCAAAGCTTAATTCATTGATGTGATATGTGGAGGCAGAGTTCATAAAACCTTTTTTTCTCCATTAACTTTGAATTTGTAGGATGACAGAATTTTACTGTGGGATACCAGATGCCCCAAACCAGCTACTCGAATTGGTGAGTCTGTGGATATACAATACATGGAATTTTGTGGGGGAGAGGGGGAGGAGATAAATTTGCAATGTTTCATTAAGTTTGTAATGTTCTACTACCACATAGAATTTATCTCCGCCAATGATAGTGCTAGGATGAAAGCACAAAGAAACCAGTCATAAAATAGCATCGCAGAAGTACAACAAGTTTTTTAAAAAAAAAAAAATCTTAGCCAATCAGCAACTGAGGGTGCTAAAATAACCTGGGAATACCTGAGCTCACAGTTCTCTTCACACTCACCATAGTTTCTTTCCTGACAGTTTGCAGTGCCTCTGCTCACCTCCCTACCTCAGTTATGTGGCATCCACAGCAAAGTGACACATTTGTGTTGGGTAAGGAGCTATCTTACTACTAGCTGATTGTCATTATCCAGACTACACATTCTGATCGAATGCTCTTTGTTCTCTGTTGGATTTTCCTAATAATCCTGTTCTCCTTTGTTCTTTTAAAGGTGATGAAAACGGGACAGTTGCTCTTGTAGACACAAAGAACCCAGACTCTGCTCTAAGTTCAGCTGTGCACTCCCAAACTGTCACTGGTTTTGCATTTTCTACACACAGGTACTGATATTATGGTGGAATGAGGCAGTTTAGATGCTGATATGAATGACCTTGTTTGCTCTCAGAATTAAAGCAATTAGAAGTACTCTTGGCTACAGCCTTTTGTAATAGGCAATATGTAAAAATGATATGAAGTGCACAGGAATTGGTGTCTTACATTGATTCCCATGTATGTGTAAAGTCCATTCACCGTGCTGCTCTGTCTACTGTCTTGCCAGTGCTCTGTATATCTATTGCACCCTAACAATTCTGTCCTGTTTTTTAAAAAAAAGAAAAAAGGAAAAACCCTCTGAACCAAGAACCATGTGGGGAAAGATGTTCATACTGTTCTGCACTAAGGCTGGGGCTAGCAGTGTATATTTGACTCCAGAGTGATGTGGAAGTGCGTGTCAGTAACACTTGGGCCCTTTTGAATCATCTTATAACTGTGTTTCCTTTCCTTTATGCAGCAACAGAATGTTGTCTGTTAATTCTGGTTGAAATCTATAAGATATGCATAGAACACTAAAATACTGGTAAAAGAAACTTGTGCAGATATGGGTTATAATATTGCCTGGTAGTCTTTGTTCACTCCATTAAGAAGCATATGTTTCATATGTTGTTTGTTTTTGAGCTTTCAGGTATATATGGTAGTTTTAACATCAGTCTTTCTTTTACCCTACAGTTCGCCCCTCCTGGCTTCAATTAGTGAAGACTGCTCGGTAGCTGTTCTTGACTCCAGCCTTTCAGAGGTGTAAGTACTAAATGGAATTAATACTTGGTGCATTTTGAAATTTTAGCCTCCTATTAAATGATCATTAAGTATGTTTTATAGGCAGGAAAAGTAATAGCCCTCCAGGAGTTGGGAAGAACATATTAAGCTTACTGACATACTGTTGTAAAAGAAGTCAGGTTTTTTGTTTTGTTTTTGTAGTACTGCAGAAATGAATCAGATGCATTCTCACATATTTATAGGAATGGACTTGGCTGCGGGGAATAACAAAGCAAAGCTAGAGTCTTTCAGTCCCTTTTTTGAACTGAACACCTGTTTGGGGGTCAAGAAGGGGGAAGATGATAAAGAAGCTTATAGCGTATTAATCAGCAGGAGTTAGTTACTGAACACTGCCTGGCTGTGTGTGTGGATTTTCCAGGAATGATGATGCAGTTAAGTAGCGTTTTGTAATGTAAAGTAAGGCGGGGGGGCCCTTAAAATATTGTTGCCTTAGCACTGTATCTGTCTAATCCCTTTTTATGTCTTCTGATTTTCCCAGTTTCAGAAGTCGCTCTCATCGAGACTTTGTGAGAGGCCTATCGTGGTCTCCCTTGAACAAGGCCTTGCTCTCTACAGTTGGATGGGACCATCAAGTTTTACACCACACAGTTCCAACACAGACTACTGAAGCTGCTGGAAGCAACAGTGTACATGACTAGTTTTATAAACTCACTGGTCCAGATTTATCCCCGGTATAACTCTAGATGTTATGCCCCTGGGATGTATATGGCCCATTGCCTGTCTCAGAGCTTGTGACTTGCAACCAAGAAGACAGGTCCTGTAGCAACTTTGCATTAGGCACGAGCTAATTACAAAAACAGCCCCTTGATGTAGAGTCCAGATTCACCTGTGATAAAGCTTTAACATGTTGCACCAGAGAATTTTGATTTCAGACACAAGGAATTGCAGGGAAGTGGGCAATTAGGTAAAAATAAATAAATAAAACCATAAAGGATTTGGTTTTTATTTGTCTTGGCATATCAAACCACTTACAGAAGTAGCAGAACAGAAGCTCCTGCCAGTTAAAAAGTCTGGCAGTCTTGTGGGGGCCTTGTCTGAGTTGGGATTATGGAACAATGAGATTAAGAGCGATGTAAATTAATCCTGACAAATGAACAGGAAACCTTGATTCAATATTTATAGCACAGAAAGTCATTCATGCAACCTCCGGCACAGTTAGGGATGCTCTGTCTTCCCTCTTGAGTGTGTGAATCCCGTATGCAGGCATGGAATCTGCTAGTGTATACTTCTGTCCTGTGAATGGACATCTGAATGCTCAGATAGTCAATAAGAGAGAAGATGGAGATCTGTGCTGTTCAGCAGGAATGCCAAGTGACGCTCCCACAGTTGTCCAGTGCAGCCTTTGAATGCCTTCATGGGGAAGTATTACCTAGGGAGAACTATGATCTGGGCTCTCCAGGATGTGTGTCTGCATCAAAGATGATGGTAGTTTAGTTGGCTGCATTATGTTTGACACTAAGGGCATGTCTACACTTACCTCCGGAGTGATCGATCCAGCAGGGGTCGATTTATCGTGTCTAGTCAAGACACGATAAATCGAGTGCTCTCCTGTCGACTCCAGTACTCCACTGGTGAAGACACCGCGGTAAGTAGATCGAAGTACGTTGACTTCAGCTACGTTATTCAGGTAGCTGAAGTTGCATAACTTAGATTGATTCCCCTCTCCTCCCCCCCCCCCAGTGTAGACCAGGGCTCCACTGAGGCCTGAAAGCCACAGCGAGTTACCCCCTTGGGCTTTCCCAGGGTCAAAACTTCAGCTTCCCTGCTTTGCAGATACCTCACTTGAAGAGCAGAAGAAAGCTGCGGGGCAGAGCTCCCTTGTTGCAGCTTGGAGTCAGAGTGAAGATTCTGAAAGCTCAAATGACTTGTTTCTCTTCTGAAAGTCACTGTGACCAGCTGCTGCTGGTAGCCTTTCATAAAAGGGTGACTTCTGTTGTACTATTTATGTTAAGTGGCTTTTTGCACTGGGGAGTGGGGCATACCCCAGAAATTCCTAGTATTTGTTTTGCTTGTCTTGTAGTATTTTTGTAACTTACAGCATAACATTTTTAAAACCTGGCTGTTTCCCTTATACTACAGTATGGTTTTGAAAAGCTGCCCTGATGCATATGTTGCTATAATCCTATGGTATTTTTTAATGAGCTCTCACTTAAGACCTCTCTCAGATTTTGCAGTGGGATTGGCACAGCTGTTCACTATCACATTTCTCTGCCCCTGGGAACTAATCTCCAAATGTCAAAAACCCATGGATATTTTAAAACCAAATGCTGAAACTAATGCAGTTTGTAACTTCCATGGCATAAGTGAAACTAGTCACAATGAAAAGGTGGGTGATTCTGAGCTCAGGCTCAGTGGGGCTGTGTGTGTCTGAAGACTGCTAAGACTCTACTGGTATTATAAAATTGTATGGTGTCAGATCAGTCTTCAGTGCTTCTGTTAATGTGCCAGCAGCGCACAAATGCTTTGCTCTTCCCCTTCAAACTTTTAATAGTTTATTCTGAATGCTAAGCTTCCCTGCGTCACACCACATGGGGGCAGCAGCTGTCTATTTCTGTTCGGGTTACCTAATGAGGAGCTTTTGATTGCATAGTTGAGAGCAGCATGAAAGAATCTTCTTTCTTTGAAAGTTGAGCCATTTCTTTTAGGTAAATGAGTATCTGCCAGGACCATTATGAATTAAACTGGTAGGGCCTTCTCCATCAGGATATTTCAGCGTAATGGGAAATGAGACATTGCAGTTGGAAAAAGCCATTATAGAGCTAGTTTAAAAAAATATCTAATACAAAGTTGTACATAGTCTTCTCTACCCATATTGCTGTGCTTTCATATTAAGATTTCTGACAGTTGAATATAAGCCCTAACTTTGAGGAGAGAAATATCTCATCTTTCAGCCCCACCCTTATTTTTTTTTATTATTTATACTGTGGAAGTATCTAAATGGCTCAATTAAGATTTAAGCCTCATTGTGGTGGTGGAGGAATACGTACTTTTCACCCAAAGGAGATTACATTCTGTGGCCTTAAGGATGCACGTGTTACATGCAATAGAGTGTCTGCTCATTGATAACTGAACTGGTAATTGGTTAACAGAAATCTTACTGCTTCATATTCTATAGCACTAAGTTATGTTGATAACTCAGTTTCATAGTGTTAAAATGTACAGAGGTATCTGTTTCATTCAAAGTATGTTTATACAGTACTTTGGGTAATGCAAAGTGCTATATAGGTGCTTAACTAAATTATTTAGGAACAGAGGGAATATACAATGGTATTTTTTCATCTCTAAAATGGCTTTTTATCTAACTTGCTCATCGTGCCCTTGTAATTTAGGGGACTGGCAGGTTGGGTGTGTGAGGCAATTCACTTGTATATCCCTTGATGCTAACGAACATATTTTACAAATATTGCCAGAGTACAGCTATCAGATCCAGATATGGGTCAAGACAGCAGCTGTGCAAGGTGATTTAAAGCTCATCTTTGTACTCCTCTGATCTTGCTTTTTGTAGTTACAGCTACTCGAATTTACATCTGCTGCAGAGGACCCATTTTTAAATTTTAATTAATGGATTTACATGTAAGTGCTCAGAACATTCATTTGTCTGTAAGGGGTAAATGTATAATTCTAAAACGGATTGAGTTTATTCCTCATACAAAAGAGGTTGAATCCCTGCTTTAAGTGCAAAACTTGACTCAGCCTTATCTGGAGTTTTGACTAATACCTCCCTAATAATTGTTTAGTGCATAATTCCCATTGAAGATAATGTGAGTTCAGTATGCATAGCTGTTGCAGAATCTGGCCCCAGCTAACTTAAATGAAGTATGTAAGCCCTGTTTCAGTTGTTATAAACCACTGTTTGCCTTTGGAGAACCAGTGGATCCTGCAGAAAAAATGGAGGGCTGAATAATTTAATTACCCATTTACATCTGTTCCTTTTCTACAGGGCCTGTTTTGTAGGGACCGTTTGGCTCCCATTTAGGCACCTAAAGAAAGAATGGTGTTGGTAGTGTTCGGGAGCCAGCATGCTGAGCTCTGGGAAGATCCAGTCACTTATTTTGGTGCCCTAATAGCAGATGAGCTCTCTTGAAAAAGCTGACCTGAAATGTCAGGCTAGTGTAAGAACTAACTTACATGCAGTGGGCTGCATAGATTGTGTAAAGAAAAAGCTTATGTGTCAGAGGAGACCTGTGTTAAGCAATTTCACCCACCCTCTGCCTACAGTTCTCGTTAGAGAGCTTCCACTGTGTTTTGTTTTTAACTGATATAGCTGTTAATTTTAGTAATTTAAACTACAATCTTTATCTCTAGAGATGCTGGTATTTTTGCCCCTGGAGTAAAATCTGGCATGTAGAACTGGTCTTGATAGCTTTGAAGACAAGCATACCTGGTTCAGTTATGGATAAGCCATTTTGTTTGGATGGTGGTGGTTTGACTTTTGCTTTCTGTTCTGACTCGTGTGTCTTTCTGCCTCTGCAGTTGGTTCTTGCCAAATGTTGAATGAGTTATTCTTCAGTAAATACTTTCTAAAGGAAGGGAGTAGCAAACAAGTTCTTCCCTGCTCACATTCCATTAACCCATTTTGCACAAAGGTGTCATTGGCTATTAGTATCCATCTTTGAACCAGTTTTACAAAGCTTGTGCCTCTGAGCTTCTAAACCAGACATTTCTTATAGTAATGCAATCTAGGAGCCCTACTCATAGACCAGAACCCTATGGTGCTAGATTCTGTACAAATACAGAAGAAAGAGCGAGCCCCAAAGAGCTAAGTAGTAATAACCTGAGGTAGCTATATGCTATCTGCACTGGACTTGGGGGGAAACAAGCTTAAAACTGTATTATTTTTCTGCACATCAACAGACTTCTCAATACACTGAAGTAAGTCTGTCAACGGCATCTAAGGAAATTCACACTGATGTGACTGACTGATGTAAACTGCAACTGTGTAAACTCCATTTTACATCAGTGTATGGGGTCTGCTTTAGGGATTTGCACCAGCGTGATTACAGCTATAGCCATGCATGTGTGTAAGCTTCCTTAACATAGGCTTGGCCTTTAGAGGGGCAGGTGGGCCCTAAACCCCAATTTATGTAGAAGCCATTTGGAAAAAGGGCTGTGGAAAGTTAGATTATTGATGTCTCCACTATTGGACTCACTTGTACACTGATCTTAGTTTTTGGTATGCCTCCCAAGTTGGGCATTCATATATATATATACACACACATTCTGCACTTCCCCAGTAAAGAGTCCTGGTCTGTAACCAGAGTTGAGTGAAAGAAATGTAAATGTGTATTTAATGTGGAGGAGTGGAGAGAGGGAGCCAATGTTTAAAACAAGTCTCAGTCTTTTCTCTTCTCATTGTAGCATGAGTAATGTGAGCATTTTCCATTTTAAAAGACACTCGTGTTAAGACTTGCAAATGCTTAGGGGAGTTTCAGTGCTAGTAAAAGAAGCTGGACAGGACTGACAGCTCTAAAGACTAGAGTCCTGTGGTTCTATAGAACAAGTGTGGTACAGAGAATATAAACAAGCTTCCCTGCCCAGATGCTGTAGTTCACGGTTTATACCCATTCAGTCCTTAGAGACTCTAGTGCCCCTGCTACAGAGGCCAGTACCAACTGCAGTGGTGTTTTGTTATGGACAGTGAGCTGGACTGATCCACAGACAGATGGTGGTAATTATACAGCGAGGCTGAATTTCAGTTACCTAGAAATGAAAGGCTCCTTTGTCCTTTACCAATGGCAGGAAACAGGCAATCCTCACCACGCTCCTTTTTTCTCCTTAAGTCTTAAAGTTGAAGGAGATTATGCTTTTGCAGCAGCTGAATCAGGAGCAGAGTTTGTCTCTCTAAAACAACTTTTGGATAACTGAATAAGTCAAACAAAGTTTTATTTAATTAGACAATGGAGCATAACCCAACCCTTTCAAGCAAAAACAAAAGTGAAACATATTTAATGAGAGAGATTGCACAGGGCGTGACATTTTAATACAGTCTATAAATACAAGCTTGTTATACATTTTACACGTAAAAATAGTTATACTACCACCAGTGTAGTTTGTGTAGAATACATATTTGCTGGAAATAACTGCAGTTCTGATAAATGAGTGACCAAGTTTTCATCAAAGTTAAAGCAAATTGTTTAAAAAAATACTAGAAGGTTTTAAACATCAGGTTTAATATGAACTATAGTCCATTTATTCATTTTGGAAGCAACCTATATGCAGTGATCTATATACAGTGACCAAGTAAAACATATAACCATAAATTCATCTGGGTGATTTTATATTAGAAAACAAAAAACCAAACAGCATTATTGAATTTAGAAAGCTGGTGAAAACTGCCAAATTAAGAACCCTGGAATAAAAAGATAGTCCTGTGTTGATCTACAGCACAGTGCAAACTACACATGCTGTCCTGTTAAAGTGCTTTCAGCCTGACCTGGAAGCACTTGAGTCCTTCCCTAAAAGTCCCTCTTCATTGCCCATCTGGGTTTTGCCCTCTGCTTATTCGGCCAATAACTCTGATGGTGATTTTTTTGCAATGTGGCAGCTCTCCACTGGGAGCCCGTCAGAGCTCTCCTTGTAGTCTACAGCGTGTTGCCATTGAATTCAGAGGGAGCAGACATGGCAGGCATTCAGGAAGTAGAATATAATTCACGCTACCCACATTTATAATAGTGAACACAAAACCCCACTTGCATTAACACTGGCTTGAATTAACCACCATAGACACCATCTTATTGTTCTCTATGTAACTGTTTCATCTATTTATAAGGGTAGGTGCCCATATTAAAGTGGAAGTTGTTTTTCTAGTCCAAGAAATAAATGAATCTGTTTTATCAATATGAACAATGTAACTAATTTACCATATAACAAATTTTTGATGGAAGTAAAACCTTCCCAGACTACATAAAATAGCAGTACAAATTGGTGTATCTAGTGGGACTGTGTGAAATACAAGCAACAAAATTGAAATGTGTCAAAAAAACAAACAGTATTTCAGATTTTGTGTTTTCATAATAGCAGGCTAATTTTACACGGTTTTGCTTGGAAAAACCAAAACCCAAAACAACCTAGGACTATTCCTTAGTGAAAATGGATCATTTATGAGTAAAGCCTCAATTTCCCAAACTTGATTTTGAACCGTTTTGATGGGAAAGTTAGCATTCACAACTTCAAGTTATTAGAGGTCAATGCCAGAATCTTAGTTTGCAAAAAGTTACATTAAGAAGCAAAATCATGCCTGTGTGAAACTGAAAACGTTAGTGGAAAGTGGTTTTAAAATAAAAAAAATCTAAGGCACTGGAAAATCATCTGAATGTTTACAAGGAAAATATACTTTTAATAGTTCAAATTCAGGCCCTGATTCTGCAAATAGTGAAAAAAGTACGTTGCTTTACTCACACATGTAATCCTATAAACTTCAACAAGAACTAGGTACAATATAGAAGTTGCATGTGTTAAGTATTTGAAGGATTGGGACACTAGTACTTTTGGCAACTATTTACAATATAGAGAAAATTATTGCTTCCGTCAGTATCCATTCATTTTATTTTTTAAACACCATGCTGGCATTTCATGTGTTAGTTATTGCATACCACCTGGAGTAAGCTTATTTGGAATTGTGTGTCGTGTGTATTAGGGGAATTGAATTTCAGCTATTACACTTATCACATACGCAGTCTCATTGTATTTGTAGCAAAGTAGAAGTCCAGAATACTTAAATTTATATCCAATATATGGGGCAACTGTGGAATAAGGCCAGAAGTTAGGTCATTAGTATAATGAATTACAAATAACAGTACACTTACTATCAATTTACAACATGATGTTCATACCAAAAAAACCAAAAACTTTTTTAAAAAATTGCATCGTGTAAGCCAAAGTTTTTCTCTTAATGTTAAGAGTCCAACAGCAAAAATAATAACCTTTTACCTAAACACATACGCCGTAGGAAAGCTTCACTGAACTAGAAAGATATTGCATATTAGTGAAAATAAAAAGTGCTTTAAATAAAAAATGACTAGTGTCTCAAAGTGCTTTTTGTTTGATGTCCATAACTAGAAAATATGTTCTACATGTTTTTACATTTATTTTACAGTCATTTTAATTGAGTTTATTTTGATACTAGATTTTTGTTTATCTTTTACCAACTAAATTAGCTAACCAAACTTTGGTTATGTAAAATGAGGGGGTGTGTGTGTGTGTATTATATATAGGGAGAGAGAGAGAGACTCAAGGTCACCTGTTTACCTACAGTTACTTTCATAGCTCCCATTTCATTTGGATAACCTTTGTTTGACTGTAATTCGGATAGATTTTTGAACTGGAAGAAAACAGACACAATGCAGCATGATTGCCTGATGAGATGGTCAGAGTGCATCCATAATACAGAAATAGCTTAAAAACAGACTATGCTATAAACCACTAATATTTTACTACTGGCACACTACCAAAGACTGTGTGTCAGCTACTTAAGGACTACATTAAAAATTAGCTGACCCCAAAGTAGGCTAAAACTAAAACTACATCCTTTATGAGAGATGAATTTATAGGGAAAAAAAAGTTGCTTAACTGTTTGGAATGGGGCATTTATGGGGCATTCTTCTGAGGGACAAGAGAACTGTAAAACTGTACACAGTTTGTAAGTCACAGTGATGTCCATTGGTATGGACAGAATTTAAGGATAATTATCACTTAGTGTCTTCCAGCTCCAAAGTACTTTACAAACCTGAACCAGTTAATCCTCTCAGCAGGCCTCTGAAGCAGGTGGTCATTAGCATTAGCACCACTTACAAATTGGCTAAATGAAGACAAGACATTAAGGTCCAAATTTTCAGAAGTGGCTTTTAAACTTCCACACCTCCATTTCTGGCTGCTCAATGAGAGAGCCCGAAGGTAATTTTTTTCCTGAAATGATGAAGCACCTACAGCTCCCATGACCTTGGGGGTCAAGACAGGCCCTCAAAAATCAAAAGCCACTTTTGAAAACATGCAGCTAACTGATGTGCCCAAGGCTAGTGAGGGAATCTGTGGCATAGCTAAGATTAGATTCTAGTAGTTCCAGGTCCTCCATCCTTTGCTCTGATCATGTCTCTCACTGTTCTGTTAAAGCTCCCTATTTCTACATCCCGTTTTTAGCATATCTGGATTCAGTCACCTTCCCCTTGTCATGCAGGTTCCCAGTGGAGTTTTTCCCCCCTTCCAAATAAATTGCATTTAAAGTAGGTTTAAAACGGAATTTAACAAAAGAAAATCACTAATGAGTAATTTTGTATCACGTGCTTTTAAACAGCATGCAGGGCATGTTCTTTCCTTTACATTTTAAAAGCCCTAATACACTAAAGCATTTACCTAATGGTCCTGTGGGGGAGAGATAAGGCATTCCCCTAAGACAACAGTACAGCAACTCCAGTAACTACTCTCCATATTTGTTTTTTTGAGAAGGGTTTTAGTCTCACCCTCACTCCCAATAATTTACAAGCAGTGCATTTACAGGATGCTCTGGGAGCCATGGCAGACCCTTATGCTCCTACAGCACTACTCCTGGATAGACTTCATCATTACTGACACGTCAAGGTCCATCCTGCGTCACGCCACGTTGGAACAGGCTTGTGGGGTTTATGTAACCGGAGGCAGCAAAGCAGCCTCCTGAACCAACTTATCGATGGCTACCTTGGTACATGTAGGAAATCGGCTGCCGTGTCCCAGGCCTGACAGTGAACGTGTTCACAGGAGAACTGTACTGTGGGTTGCCCTGGGTAGGCCTGAGGGAGGAAACAAAGGAGGAAGTCATCAAAAGCCATGGAAGCCATTTATAAAACAAAGCAGCAAAGCATCCAGAAGGGGTGGGGGCAGGCGTAAGTGTGTTCCTGTAGATATATTTCATTCTGCACCCAGGGAGAGCAAGCTGTAGTTCTCTTCAGTGCCTGTTGCCATAGTATTCAACAGCCCAAATCTGAACACACGCACGCAGGAACAGATTGGCTAGGGCAATCCTTAACCACTCCTCCATCTGCACGGCCTGTACCAGTGGGCACACTGTGCCTTTAAATGTGCACCATTCTTTTATCTGATGGTGCAACAAGACATACCTACAGTGCCCTAGGCAAAGGAATCCCTCTGCTTGTGTTTTAAATCTGCTTCAAAACATGCTCTAATTAAAGCCGATTCAGGAGCATGCTCCTTGGGAAGAATACGCACATGGAGGGGACACACCTCTCCCTGCTTTGCCAGCAGAAGAGCCTCCGGATTCTGGGAAGAAGCTGGGATAAGGCTTGTTCATAGTGCTCTTTCTGGCATGTATCTGTATTGCGACGCTGCCCAGATGCCCCAATCAGGATTGAGACCCTGTTACGAGTAGGCATAGTGCAAATGTGGAGCAAGGCATGGTCCTGTTCCCTGCCCTGCCCGTCCTGCTCTTCAAACAGACTGCTTCAACTTGGGGATATTTTCCCCTTAAGCAAACCCTCTCCACCCTCCAGAACAAGTTATAATTAGAGATGGGCTGAGGGGGCTTTGCGTGGAGCCAGACAGTGCCTGGGTCAGAGGGAAAACCAGCTGAAAGTCAGGCCTAGGACTGAGGTGGAAGGAAGAATCAGGTCTTGGGTTTGAGTTAGAGAGAGCACCAAAGATGTTCTCAAAAGACGTCAGTTGCACCTGCGCCAGTATGAAGGGAGAAGCCTCTTCCTCTCGGATGTGACCCAGAACGAGAACCACAGATATGGGATCAGACCTGGGGATTCAAATTGGATACCCCTCCCAGCCCCCCATACCAAGGGTTTCCAGCATCAGCCCACCTGCCCTTGCAATAAGTGGAACGTACCTGCTGGTTGCTGCTGCACTGGCGGCAGAGTAGTCCCCATTCTGCCCTTTATACTTGGCATTGTTCATGGTGTTGTTATAAGACCTGGTTTTCCCAGGGGGCTCCAGTGACATCCGCCTGCCCTGCGTGCTGCTGGGAGCACTCCTGTGGGTGGAGCTGACCCGGCACATCCCCTCCGCAGCCTGGGAGCCATACCCCACTATGCTGTGGCCATAGGTCACGGGTGTGCTAACGTTCCTGGAGGATGTGGATGTTCTCGTGTAGGACCTATCGGGTTCAGACACGTACAGGCGCTTCTTGATCAGCGGGCGGCTGTCTGGGCGGCAGACAGGAGGGCCAGTGGAGTAACTGCCACCTGGGTAATGTTGACTGAAGCCGCTAGTCCTCGTGCTGCTGTCTGGGGCCATTTTGGAGGGCAGGGCGTAACTGTTAGCATAGCCGTAGCTTGGGCATCGGATATTCTGCTGCCTTTCCCAGGGTTGGCTGTAATCTGGGAAACTGGGGTCTCTGCAGCTCTCTGCCACGTTTGAAGAAGCATTCTCGACCCTGTTGGCGTCATTGCTGAACTCTGGTGGTGGTGGGATGATCTCATAGTCAAGCTTCTCTCCATTCTCTTCCTCCTCCTTGGTCAAGGAGCTAGGAGGTGAAGAGACAGAGTACAGGGGAAGGTCAGGTTTGGGGGGAAGGTCTTGCAGTCTCAAGTGGCTGGACTCCAAGAGGCCTTGAACTAAACTGGAGGCACCAAACCTCTCTGGCTTGGAAAGGCTCTGGGACTCCCCAGCGCTAGTTTTCTGCATGCTCTGGCTTTGCTCAGAAGTGCTGGAGAACGACAGTGGTTTGTAGGCCCTCTGTCCTGGTTCCGAGAAGCCCAGTGCCTTGCCTTCAGGTGTGACCATCCTGTCATGCTGCTTGCCTTCCAACAGGGCAGGGGACGCCTTCTGTGGAGACTTTGGTACCACCACAAAGGAGTAGGGCTTGGATTCACTGAAGTAGAAGTTGGTCAAACCACTTTCTGACTGGCTGCTGCTGCCGCTACTGGATTTCTCGGATAGCTTAAGGGGGTGTTTTTTGGACAAATAACTGTTCTGGCGGGAGGCAGATTGCCTGACTCTTTGGGCCCGCTGTTTTGCGGCCAGGAGGAGAGCCATTGGAGAGCCTTTCTCCACCTTTTCTCCTGTGACAGGGTGGATCAGGGCATTGTCATCCTCCTGGTCTGCATTCATGGAAGAAGAGGTTGGCTGTGAAGGCACCCCTGGCTTCTCAGCAGAGCACAGGATTGTGCCTCTTTCTGCATCATGTTTGTTTGTATTGACTGGCCCCTCCTCCACAGTTTGGGAGGGGGTCAGAGAGGACAGACTGTCTGTGGAGCTGGTCTTGGCCCGATGGCTCTTGTATTGGACAAGAAAAGTGTCTGTGTGTGGCCCAGAGGTTTGTGTGGGAGAGGTAGCCTCCATAGAGGAGAGTGAAGAGGAGGCTAGAACAAAGAGTTGGTCCTTTGGTTTCTGAGGTGGGTCTGGAGACTTCTGAACATGATCAGACAGCAGGTATCCCGAAACAGGGTTTAAGTTCTCCAAAGTCTTATTACTGGTGAGGGCAATGAGAGTCTTAGGATCCTCCTGCATCTTCTCAACTTCCACTGAAGCTGCTGTGGGTGGGAGCTGATTGGCTACAGGTTTTGGCAGCCTGGAGTCACCAGAATTTGTCTGGCTGCTTCCAGAATTCAGGGTAACTCTGTTTGTGCCTGAACTGTGTCTGTGATTTGTAAGTCCTGTTGGTGGTTTACCTTCCTTTGTTGGGGAGAGTAATGCTTCCAGCTCGTTCCTGAATTTCATAACACTGTTTGCTTGCGTGCTGGTGGGTTTATTGCCTGGAGCAGAGAAAACCGAGGAGGAGTACTCTTTTGTAGTGAGTGAATTAGTAGGGATCTTCTCTTTCCTCTCACTTTCCCCCCCTGCTGGTAACTGTGGATCCTTCAAAGTAGGTTTAGCTTGATTTGACCCAACAGAGCTAAACCTATCATTGCTAGCATGGTCAGTAATACTGTTGGTAGGTCTGGCATTTATGGGTTTATCCAGCTGTCTCTCCTCCCTTTTCGAAGAAGAGGACAGCAGGACTGATAGTTCTTGCCTCAGCCTGTTTAGATTACTGGGTTCCTTCCAGTCATCATCAGATGATGTGTAGTCTGGAGAGGGCACGTCCGATTCCTCCTCTGCAGCAGGAAGCTCAGATTTTGGACTTAAGTCCTTTTCAGCTTTCTCCAGCGGGACCTTTGCTGCCTCTGACAATGAGGACTGATAGCTATTAAAATTAGTCCCTTTGCCACAGTCTGACCCTGGTCTTGGGCTCGCGGGTTCTGTGATTTGCCTGACGGGCTTTGTTACTATCTGCCTATCCAAGGTAGATTTCTGCTCAGCTTCTCCAGCTAAGTGCACCTTGGCTGCAGGTCTGATGGTGAAGCTCGGCGGAAGGGGAGGGCGGGTGCGAGGATGTCTGGAAATAAGCCCATCTTCCTCACAGGGATCTTTTTCTTCCATGGAAATGGATGAAATTCTCACCGGGGCAGCGGGAGGTACTTTTAATGATCTGGGGAAAGTTAGGTGAGGTTCTGGGGCAGACTTGGTCAGCGACTCTTCCTTCTGGTGAGAGGCTGGTGGAGTGGTGACAGCAAGAGAGGGGGCGCTGGCATTTTCCCTGGCATCTGTCTGCCTCGTGTTCAGAACCGTTTCCGATTTCCACTTGGAGACACCGTTCGAGATGGGAGTATGAAGCAGGGGAGGGGCCGGAGGCGGCAGGGGAGGGGCCGGAGGCGGCAGGGGAGGGGCCGGAGGCGGCAAAAAAGGCAAGCGGAGGTGCTGGAGGAATGAAATCCGGAGGGAACGGCGGGCTGGGAGAAGGTAAGGTTGAAGACGAAAGCAGAGCTGGAGCCACAGATGGCGGAGATGCCGCCGTTGGAGGTGGTGGCGGAGGAGGTCCTGTGCACAGTGGAGGCAGTGGTATTTCCATTGGTGGGGGTGGGGGTGTCATGGAAGGTGGAGGCGGGGTGGGGCCATGGAAGGAGGTGGAGGAATATCATTGTCCAGATAGTCTCTCTCAAAACCTTTTGGCCGCAGGTCTCCAACCGACTTGTACATTCTGTAGTTGCCATTGATTTGGGGCCTAAGGCCTATGGGAAAGAACACTGGTATTAAACACATTGCACATGGGCAGAGTCCATACGGAGAACATCTCCATCAAAACTGTCCTTCTAAGAAGAACCAAGTGTCACAAAGCCAGCTAGAAGCATTTCATTTAAAACAACCTGATTAAAAATGATTTTAGCAGCAACACAGCCATTGCAACTCACTCGTTAATAGCGTGCTTGCATTCAATACATCTTTAGGAGATGCCCAGAATAAGAGCCTGATTTTGCAACTAAAATCCCAGGGGCAGACCCTAATGAAGCAGGTATAGCTTGTACCAAACTCTCTATGGAGTAGATGAAATATACTAATCTCTAGGTCTTTAATCTTGACGGTGCTCAGCACCCTCAACTGTTGACTTCACTGGCAGTTGAAGGCACCTAGCACCTCCTTAGGTGGCCTGGATAATACTTGTAAACCTTTCAGCCCCGGTGGAATTAGTCATCTGAAAAGCCGAGTTAATAATTATGCTAACATAAGAGTTGTATCTCACCACTAAGAAAAAAAAATGGATTGAGCTTTTTCTTAAAAAACAAGTTGAGGTTAATAGACAAGAGAAGGTCTCTTGGCTTCTTTCTGAACTGGGAGATCCTGCAATGTATTTTGTGCTCATTTGGTTATGAAAATTGGAGAGGAATTAATAAAAAATAAAGACACTGTAGACCTCTATCAGATTCTTCCATAACTTATGGAATTTTGATAGTGGTTCATCAGTTTTAAGTTAGCAATTGCTACTGACTTATTTTGTATTGTACTCTCCCTCAGAGCTCTCTCTGTCTTTTCTGGTGCACTGATTTTCATATAAAATGTATCAAACCAGATAATCTGGGTCCACAAAGGAAACAACTAGAATTAGATTGTTTCAGGACTCCCAAGGTCTTATGTAATACTGATCAGAAAAGCATATTCAGTCTCCTGGCTTCTTATTATCACAGTCACTATCTAAAGTCAAGACAAAATTTAGTTACCGCCTATGCTTCCCATTGAATAAGGGAACAAATTAAGCAACCAAATTTCCATGTCAACAGTGTAATAACTTTATATATTTTTAAAACTCTTGATAGTTGCCATGGTTGCATCACAGAAGAAACTAACCCAACATGCTTTGCAGGTGTTGGCTTCATCTGATGAGAGCATCTCATAACTGTGTTTCACTCCTTTTCCCTAAGGACACTTGGAATCCTCCTCAAGAAAGCCAGCAACTGAAAGCTTGCTCAGTTTGTGTGGAAACACAGGAGACCAAATGCTGATGCCTCGGTAAATTGTCTTCAGCCAAACTAGTTGCACGATTAAGGAACGGTGACGGCAACATACGTGGATCTGTGCATTAAAGCCATTTTAAGGGCTTTGAATACCTCAGCAGAGAGGACACCTTACCTGGAGATGCTGTTTCTTCAAAGCCCTCCGGCACAGAAGGGGTTGGTACAGCCACTCCATGTGTCTCCTGGGTGTTCTGAAAGGGTTGAATAAGCGGATGGTAAGAAAACTCACAACAGTATATACACAGCACCTAGTACAATGGGGTCGCGGTCCATTCCTGGGGCTCGAAGGCACTACTACAGTACAAATAAATAATAAAAACACCTCAAATACCCTGGGTATAAAGTGCTGGGCATGAGTTTTACCCATGTTATGTCATCTGAATCTCAGCTTTTAGTTATATATGTTCCTAGGCCTCCTGGTTGTGAAGAAAAGCTTGAAAACATGACCTGACAGCGTAGTGATGTCTGCCTGCAAGTACAGACAACCTCCCACCAGAGAAGTAACATCAGCTATTGCCAGAAAGCTACCTCCGTTGGTGCATCTGCTGCTGACATGGTGGCCTTGGGAAGCACACTCGTTGGGAGTGGACTTGGCACTCCAGATTGCCTTATTCCAGCTCAGGGCACGGGTGAAGATAGACTCCACCAAGCAATGGTAGTCGCTCACCAAAGTTCACACGCAGAGGACACTGATTCACTGAAGAAATGATATGAATTCCATCCTCTGGAGGGGCTGTGGCATTCAGCACAGGCTAATAAGTTAAGTACCACTGACATTGTCCCCCCCTCCCCCAACCCTCATGGGTTTGCATTCCTCTCTCTAGTTAGCACCGAGGACTCACCGTGAAACCCAGCTGAAATTGTTGAGTCTCAACTATTTTTGCATCTGCACTGCAAATTCAGAAGCATTTTGATGCAAAACCAAAACAGGAGCTGGCCCAGGTGCCCAAATCTTAGTGACCTGCTGAGCTTCAGACTTGTGAAGCTGTCTGAAGCCAGGGCGTGCAAAAGTTTTGGTCAGCTCCAGTTCATGGCATTTTCCTGAGAAGTGGCCTCATTCGTGGCACTTTCAACTAGGCTGAAATGCTGAACAAGGTCCTCCTATGCCTCCCAAACACAAACAGCCCAACCTGCCCCTCCAGTGACTCACTGTGACGATCATTCAGCAAAAGCGTTTAAAGTTTTTGCGGCTCACTAAACACACACTAATGCGTGAAAATTAACAGATCAAGCCCTGCCAGGACTGGAACTCTGTAATTCCTGGACCAACGCTTTACTCAGCAGTTTTGAGCCTCGGCTGTACCTTCTCGAGACTGCATTATAGACATTTCAGGTTCAATTCATCCTTACCAGGCACCGCGTGCAGTCATCTACACCTTGTGCGAAGTGCTACGAAATCAGAACAGTGGTGTTATACACCCACTTTGCTGTGACTGCACAAAGGGCTGGACAAGGCTGAATTGGGCCATTCTGTACCACGGTACAGAGAAATTTATACCAGTCAGATGGTTCCTGTAACAGGAGTGCTCTTTATTGATAGAAAACATACATGGTTAACAGATAAAGAGCCAGCAGCTAGCACTCAAGAACAGATAGCACAGTTCCCGGGTTTTGTGGGACCCATAAAATGTGGTGGTGTGCACTGCCAATGGCTTCTTCTAGGCAGCTCTTTACAGTCCTTTGTGCAAAGAGAATGTTGCCCTAAGAGCAGCTTCCGCCATTGCACAGCGTGGCTGTGTTTCTTATACAACCCCCTGGATAATGCTGTAGCCAGTGCCCTTTGCCATTTGTTTGGCAATATTGTTACTATTGCAAGAGATTGCAGTTGGGTTCCAAGGTCCCAACGGCCAAAATTTCATTTTAACACATAATCTACTCCACCATCATAAACATGTCGAGAGTATAGATTAACTGGCTGTAAAGGCTCTGGGTGTAAAAAGAAAGCAGAGTGGGATAATTTAGAAACACAGGAATTTCCAGAGCAGTAGCACATATAGCCCAGTCTCCTGTCTCTGAAGCAGCCAGCACCAGCTGCTTCAGAGAAAGGGGTAAGAACCCCATGGTAGGCAGTTATGGAATAACCTGCCCATAGGGAAAGCTTCCTCCTGACCCCCAATAGTTACAGGTTGGCTTGTGTCCTGCAGCATGAGGGTTTGCATTTCTCACTGCAGCCACTGTGGCTGCATGGAGCCATCAGGGGATTTTTCTGCAGCCACAACAGCCTCCTGGGCTGAGATTGGGCTGGGGCATGGTGGCAAAGCAGTGGCGCCTCCCTGTAGTGTCCAGCTGTTTCTCCTGGCTGCCTTGGTGTTTGCTGGCACCACCAGCGGGGTTGGGGTCGGGATCAGCGCCCTGCACCATGCAGCCTCCTGAGGGCTCCGAGCAGCGTCTCTGCAGACACATGGGGCCAGCGTGTGTGCTCAGCGGGCTTTGGGTTTCAGCCCCTGGGCTTTGGCTCTGGGCTTCAGCCCAGTGCGGCGGGGCTTGGGCTTGGAAAAAATTGTGAGAGCAGCTACCAGCAAGGGTTAGTGGCCACACCCTGAGGCCACCAGAAAAATTGTTCTAAGAACCAGATACCCTGTTATAGTCAAAAGAAACATTACAATTGTTTGCGTTGTGTTTTCCACACCACCTGATAATTATACATACAGTGAATGAATACATGTTATTAAAAATATCTTCCTTCCTGGATTCTACACAGATCCAGAACATTGCTGGCTGTAAATTGAAATCTGACCATTGTCCTAAAATTTCACACGCACCTTTAGACACTTGAATGCTTAGGATTGTCAACCCCACCCACTCTAAGTGATGCTAATATGTAACAAGGATGGGGTTTTTGCAAAAGCTGCCTTGGCCTGCATTCATGAATGCCAGCTGGCTCCTATTTACATTAATGCTGCCAGGAAAGGGAGGTCCACTGAGGACTATAATATTGCCCAACTCCCAAGAGTGCTATTAAGCTGTCTCACTCAGGGATCAAAGTTTATGTCCCAGAGAGATCACACTCAGCAGCAGCAGGTAGGATGGGGAAGGAATGGCTGACTTGTTTTTAAAGCACTCCGTTTTTAGTCTGTGTTGGGAGCAGCCACCAGAAGTGGCAGAGAAACCCAAGAGGCCCTCCCAGAGAGAAGACAATATAAATGAACGTGGCAAATAACTCCCCCACCCCCATTCTCACCCAGAGTTTCCTACCAATTCTTGACCAAATGAAAAATGCATATATTCCCTCACTGTGTGCTTTACGGAGTCCCAGTCGCAGCCTTCAGTGCCTGCCCTAAACTGATCATGGCACAGTCAGAAGACCATCCTCCTCAGGCCCAAAATGTATGTCAATATTCAACTGACCAGGCACATTAACAGTGGTGAACAGGTTGACTACTTTTAAGGCATCAGGTATGAACCTCTGTCAGAGGCCGACTGCCGGGCTAGATGGACTTCTGGCTGTTCCCATGGAGGACATTCTGTGGTTCTTGGAGATACACACGTTAATGGGAAGGAACTTTTTGGGCAAGAACCTTAGCTTTGGTTGAAGGGCTGAGGAGAAGAAAGGGGAGAAGGAAGCATTTCAGGATTTCTCCCCCTTTGCCCTTGCCCAGTGGCACCTCTCCAGCTGAAGATGTCAGGCCATGACTTCAAATAGAATTTCCTTGAGGTCTGCAACTTTGCCAGCAAAAGTCAAACAAAGAGGCGTCTAAAGGCATTTCATACAAGCTAGCGTGGCCTTCTCTGGTACAGCCATGAAAGCATAAGGAAGGCGACAAATGAAAAACCAGCAATTCTTAGCTATTCCACATTGCTTTGAATCTCAGGAGTGCAATACACATAGTAGCTTGTTAACAAGGAAATTGAATGATTTCTAAGCATTCATTTGCCCCTGCATTCTGAGAGATGCACGTGTCACAGGCTAGATTACAGGGACACACCCCTACGGAAATGAAGAAGGCGGCCTATATTTTCAAGTGTCCAATAATTGTAGGGTGTCCAATTTTTTGAGATGTTAAAATGATGTTTCAGGGTCCTGTCTGAGCACCTGCTGTTCCCAGGGAATTCTTTTGGGGTTGTCGGTGCTCTGCACCTCAGAATTAGCCCCCACAATGTCACATGTTTGTCTTCCAAAAATGGAGGAAGCCCAAGTCAGTGGCCTCTCTTGACAATGCTGGACATAGCAACTGCATGTATTTGCTAGGCACGTGACTAGCTTTACTCAGCCTCCCTCTGACTCATGGTGAGATGCTTCTACTCTCTTGAGTGGTTCGCTTAGAACCAGCATTTCAGGTTTGAGGAGGTTTTCTGTGCCCTGAGCACCCAGCTTGGGATGAGCGTTCATTGGCACACGAAAGCACTCCTTCATGACTGTGGGACAGAATTAGGTCATCCCTCTCCAGGGAAGCTTCTATAACCCTTCAAATGCTGAAGGGAGAGCTTGCCTGACTTTACTTTGCCCGGATCCACTATCTCCTGTCACAAGGACCTATACTTCCTTCATTTGGAATGACTTTGGTGCATCTCATTGTGGTTCCCAGAGGTAATAGTCTGTAGCAAAAGATGACTCAACAACTAGCCCCCATTTGTGGCAATCTCAGAGAGGCTGAGGGCTGACTGAGCTCCCTCCTAATCCCTCTTGGTGACTCCTCCAAGTCAGGGGTGAGGCACGACCAGGAAAGCCCCCTCCACTGCTGCCCCTGCTTGGTGGTTAGCTAGTGTGCTTTGATCTCCAGGGCTGTCAAGGCAGCACCTTGCACTGGCAATGAGAATGGAGGAAGTTGTGCGAGGTGCAGGCTGTTGACCACTGAAGAAAGAGCCACTGCTCCCAAGCCACTGTACTCTCTCATTAAAGTGCCTACTGGAAAACATCACCCCTGGTAGAAAGAAAAGGAGTACTTGTGGCACCTTAGAGACTAACCAATTTATTTGAGCATGAGCTTTCGTGAGCTACAGCTCACTTCATCGGATGCATACCGTGGAAACTGCAGCAGACTTTATATATACACAGAGAATATGAAACAATACCTCCTCCCACCCCACTGTCCTGCTGGTAATAGCTTATCTAAAGTGATCATCAGGTGGGCCATTTCCAGCACAAATCCAGGTTTTCTCACCCTCCACCCCCCCACACAAATTCACTCTCCTGCTGGTGCTAGCCCATCCAAAGTGACAACCCTTTACATAATCAAGTCGGGCTATTTCCTGCACAAATCCAGGTTTTCTCACATGCCTCCCACCCCCATACACACACAAACTCACTCTCCTGCTGGTAATAGCTCATCCAAACTGACCACTCTCCAAGTTTAAATCCAAGTTAAACCAGAACATCTGGGGGGGGGGAGGAAAAAACAAGAGGAAACAGGCTACCTTGCATAATGACTTAGCCACTCCCAGTCTCTATTTAAGCCTAAATTAATAGTATCCAATTTGCAAATGAATTCCAATTCAGCAGTTTCTCGCTGGAGTCTGGATTTGAAGTTCTTTTGTTTTAAGATAGCGACCTTCATGTCTGTGATTGCGTGACCAGAGAGATTGAAGTGTTCTCCGACTGGTTTATGAATGTTATAATTCTTGACATCTGATTTGTGTCCATTTATTCTTTTACGTAGAGACTGTCCAGTTTGACCAATGTACATGGCAGAGGGGCATTGCTACCCCTGGTAGCAAGGCCACTGCTAAATGCCATAAGGGTTCATGTGGGAAGGAAGTTAGTCTTGCAAGGGAAAAAATGTCATACAGAAAGGAATGCCGAAGAGATCTGGGCACAATTCCAGGGCAGGCTGTACACAAACCCTAAGCCACTTTCAATATTGACTCACGATTACATCTACGTCAGCCTTCCAAAGCCCTGGCAATGCAGAATGTCAGTTGCTGTGTGAAAAGAAGGGGCTGTAGATTAGTAAATTGCTTATGTGAGGTGTGTTACAGCAAGGCCTCAGGAGCAGGAGAGTGGGTCTCAGCTCCGTTCATTTCACATCACAGCTAGAGCTGGGTGAAAAAAGGCAAGGTTATTATGCAAAGAAAAAAATGTTTAAATTACATTTTTCATTTAATTCAATTTAAAAAATTTAAAAACAATTTTTTTCTACCTTTGTGAGAAAACCCCCTACTCTCTCCTCGGTACCCCAATTGGAAAAAAAAATTGAAGAGTGTGAGACATTTCCTTCTGCAATTTCAAAAAATGAAGACAAAAATTAAGTTTTTCTGCAAAAAATTCAGTCACTAACCCCCCTTTTTTTGGAGGATAACTTAATTTTCCAGTGTTAAGAAACCCCATTTGCTCCCCCCCCCATCCCAGTCTTGGCAGGGGTCATGTGACACAGTGTAAGCATGTGTTCCACCACGCCTCCCTGCTATAGAAACACTTGGGCCAGAAGTACCTCTACACTGTTCTGCTGCGTGTGTGTGGGATGCAGGGAAATGCAGCCGACATTCAACAGGCAGGACAGCTCTCATTTCTCTCTGATGCCAGACAGACTGAGTGACAGGGCAGCAAAGCAGGGAGGGAGAGACGCTACTTGAAGAGCTTACAGGGCAGGTTCTTGCTGCCTGCAAAGCACAGCTGGGCTGCCCTTCTTTTTAGCCTTCTCAGTGACTCATTCCTTTGGTTTCTCCATTTATAGTTAGCCTTTTATATTTAAAAAAGGGAATTCTGAGAGTGCAGAGAAGCCAGGAAGCATCAGGGGTGGAGGGAGGGGGGAGAAACACCATGACACTTATTGGAGGATGAGGGACTATGTCTGATGGCTCCCATCCTGTAGCCAAATAGCACACCAGAGAGGTCAGCACAGGAGCAGGTGAGAAAGTTGCATTGCGGGGGCCGAATAAGAGGATGGCTCTGCATGTTTATTCCAAAGGACATTTGTGCTGCAGAGACCTATTTATTCCCCCTGCTTCTTTCCCCCTTGCAGCCCATTTCAAGCAGAGGCAGAAGGCTGGGTGTGCCACAAGCATGGATCTCCCCTGGAAAATTGGCCGCACAGGGTTCCCAGGCTTGTTCTCTCTCTTTGATTCCATACAAGATACAATTTTTAAAAAGTTTTTCCAACTAAAAGCCAATCCTGCAAACTCAGTCTGAGCTCTGCCAATCAAGCAGGGTTCTCTCTCTCTGGTGCGATCACTTTACGAAACTTTCTGCAGGTAAGTCATGCCCTCAGTGACACCTATGCAGCTCCATTGCTTCCTTATTATTCCTTCAACAACACCGGTATAATCCCACAGCCTCCTAATTGTTCCTTTAATGACACCTCTGCAACTCCATTGTCTTCTAATACCCATAGTAACACCTGTACAACTCCATTAATATTTACGCAACCCAGTCGCTGTCAATGCACAGGTGTAATAACTGACTGAAAACTAGTAAATGTAGTTATGCTGACGATGCAGAAGAAGCAACAGAATCTGGCTCGTTCTCTCTTAGCTACGTCAGCTCTTCAGGGCTAAGAATACATGATTTGCATGACCAGACCAGTATCTGGTAAGGACAGTATCCTACCTCTAGCAGTGACCCATGTCTGGTACATTTCATGTAGTTCAGCTATCCCGTCTCCGTAATACACCTAGGCAGTTGTGCCCTATTCCACATGCCTTGTGGGACTGGACCCTTGGGAAGGCTCATCATGCAGGGAAAAATATACTCAATACTCATAACAAATGGGGAAATTTTACTGAATTTGCAAGAAATACTCTCTCCTTCCGATTCCTGAGGTAGACAGAGACTCTTCTGGAGATTCTTTGGGGATCCCCATATCTAGCCCTGCTGACCATACCTCCTAATTTTAATGCTAGCATCCAGTTGCTATGCAAGTGCTGCTAATCCTGTCTGAGAGAGTCCCTATCCCAAGGAGTTTATATAGAAGGACCTGTCTAGAGGTTACGTAAAGGTATGGGAGAACTGTCTGACAGTACAAACAAGCGAAACTGATGCACCAAGAGCAAAAAGCCCAAGAGATCCCAGGGAAACGTTCTCAGCCTCACCCATCATGGAAGAGCTCCAAGTCACGGGCACAGAGCAGCAGCTACCCTGGGTTTTTGGTGCACTCCCTGACTTTGATGTTAAGCAGCTGTGGCAGAGCTGAGCACGTATGTGGCTTGGTACACAGGGAATGAAACAAATAAAGAAGCTATTTCTATGGGGTTAATTCAACCTGACGTAGACATACCAGTCTTTCCTCCCTCTCAGCTCTCTGGGTTACATGCTCCCCTTAACAGTGAGGATGGCCAAAGTCACGATGACCATCTTAATGCAACCCGTATTATACAGGGGAGGAGGGAAGGAGCTGATGCAGAACCCCCAAGTAGCATTTGCTGAATTTGGGCCGATTTAAATACATGACTCAAGTTTTTAATTGGGACGGGAGTTTTGTGTGCATCCTGTCCTGGGCATGGTTTGAGGCTCTGGAATGAACTCAGGACCACCACAAACCTTCTCCAAGTGCCACATGTATTTCTTTGACCTGCCTTCTCTAGTATAAACACATAACAACGGGTATATTTATTTAACAAGAAAATTCACCACACGTCTACCAACACAAACACTCCTCTGCACACATTCCTCCTCCTGATGAGAGAAAGGATGAGAGAAACAACAACATGTGACAGATATGTAGTCACGTTGCTTAATGCACTACTGGAAGGCACTCAGATAAAAACCTATCTAGAATAGAACAGAACAGTGATAATTCTTTATTCAAGGGTTATGTCCCTGTTACAGCAGCCTAGAGGATCGTTCAAAATATCCTGCAAAAAGGGTCTGATTCTCTAGGTTTTTAAAGTAATTTCTACAGTAGTTTAATCCCCATGAATTGTATAGGGTTCTCCCATCACACACTGGAAGGAGAATTTGTTTTTGGAGCTGGCAGGCACTGATCCACACATTGACCCATAAATATCATTTGGTGTAAAGTCCTGCTATACCACATCAGGACACTGACTGCTCCATTGTTCCATTCAGCTCAAGGGGTTTTTGCTCATTTACAGCATCCCTGCTTAGAGCTTTGCCAATTTCCCTTTCCCCACTACTGCTTCATGACCTCACTTTACAAATGAGTATCTCATAACTGAGCCAACGAGAGGGCATTACCAGTAGCAGTCAAATCAGAATACTGTACTCACAATCTGATCCTGATTTGCTACCAACACATTGAGCCTTGTATTTGCACCAGAAATGCTAATGCAGTTTACCAAGTTCATGACCAATGTAACGTACCTCACCTCACAGCTTCCTAGCTGGCTATTTTTCCTGTGTCCATCATAAACTATGAGCTCAGCTCAGATTTCAGTCCCTGCCTGTACCCATCATCATTAAAAAGTGGTTTTGCTTCCACTCTGATTTTCTTTCTGCATATAGATGATGAGAGATATACCGAGCACCCCACCAATCTAGCTGGTTCTAAACACCATTTGCTAGAGTGGCAGAGCGAGCTCCTTTAACCTTGCACCAGCTGTGCAGGAATGTAATCGGAGATGTGGAAAATACTCACAAGGGGCATGAAGGTCAGTAACGGTCGAACTCTTGGCCGAGGCTTAAGCGTTGCTGTTCCAGAATCAGTCACTGTCATAACGCGATTATCCTCATAGTACAGTTCAACAACATCGCCTAAAAATAAGGAGAATAGAACCTGTGAGACAGGAATAAAGCTAACTGCTGTTAAAACCAAACACCGTCATATAAGAAGGCCTGGTCTACACTACGAGGTTAGGTTGAATTTAGCCACATGAGGTCGATTTTATAAGCAATGCGTCTATACAACCAACCCCATTCCGCTGACCTAAAGAGCTCTTAAAATCAGCTGCTGTACTCCTCCCTGACAAGGGGAGTAGTGCTAAAGTCAACCTTCCTGGGTCGAATTTGGGGTACTGTAGATGCCGCATCGTGCCATTTGATGGTATTGGCCTCTGGGAGCTATCCCAGAGTGCTCCAATGTGACCGCTCTGGACAGCACTTTCAACTCTGATGGACTAGCCAGGTACACAGGAAAAGCCCCAGGAACTTTTGAATTTCATTTCCTGTTTGGTCAGCGTGGCGAGCTCAGCGGAACAGGTGACCATGCAGTCCCCCTAGAATAGCAAACAAGCTCCAGCATGGAGTGAATGGGAGATACTGGATCTGATTGCTATATGGGGAGAAGAATCTGGGCAAGCAGAACTCCGATTCAGCAGAACAAATGCTGATATATATAGCAAAATCGCACAGGGCATGGTTAGGGTGACCAGATGTCCCCATTTTATAGGGACAGTCCCAATTCTGGAGTCTTTTTCTTATATAGGCTCCTATTACCCCCCACCTCCGTCCCAATTTTTCACACTTGCTGTCTGGTCACCCTAGGCATGGTGGACAGAGGCTACACCAGGGATACACAGCAGTGCCACGTGAAAATTAAGGAGCTCAGGCAAGCCTATCAGAAGACAAAGGAGGCAAATGGTTGCTCCAGGTCAGAGCCCCAGACATGCCACTTCTATGATCAGCTGCATGCCATTCTGGGGTGGGGGGGACCCTACCAGTACCCCAACGCTCTCCGTGGACACCTGCAAGGTGGCAGCCTCATGTAACACAGATGACGATTTTGTGGATGAGGAAGAGGAGGAGAAGAATGTGCAGCAGGCAAGCAGAGAATCCATTCTCCCCAGCAGCCAGGACCTTTTCCTCACCCTGAAGCCAATACCCTCCCAGAGCATATTGTTCCCGGACTCCAAAGGCGGAGAAGGCACCTCTGGTGAGTCCACATTTGTAACGACACTACAGGGATTAAAAGCAATTGTGTTTCATGTTTGATTTGATTTGAACAATTGGTATGCATTCACGGCCAGTACAGCTACTGGAACAGTCTGTTAACGTGTCTGGGGATGGAGTGGGAATGCTCCATGGACATCTCCATGAAGCTCTCCTGGAGGTACTCTGAAAGCCTTTGCAGAATGTTTCTGGGGAGCGCTGCCTTATTTCATCCTCCATGGTAGGACACTTTTCCCTGCCAAGCCAGTAGCAAGTGGTCTGGAATCATTGCAGCACAAAGCATGGCAGCGAATGGTCCTGGGTTTTGGTCACATTCATGCAACATTCGGTCTTTATCTTTCTGTGTCAGCCTCAGAAGAGAGTGATATTGTTCATGGTCACCTGGTTGAAACAGGGGAAGTTTTGTAAGGGAACAGTAATCCCCTCTGTTTGGTGACCGCAGCCCCTCCTTTTAAACGGCAAACCCAACCAGCATTGGTTGCTATGGGAAGGGAGGGCGCTGCAGTTTGAAACCATTCCCACATGTTATGAATGCGGAAGAAGCTTACTCCATGTACCCTTTGGCTTACCATGGCTGCCTGGAAACCGAATTCTGTTGCCCAGCCGTGTGTGATGTGTCACCATACCGGCAGGCGCTCAATATAAAAGGCAAAATGCGACCTTGTACCTAAAACATAGGTGCTGTCTGCTGTGAATTGCTTGATTCACTGTGAAAGAGTCTCCCTTTGGTTCTCGGAAATGGAACTTCTTAAAAAAGTCTACTTTCCCTTTCCGCCCCACCTGCAGCTGCAAATGTTTCTATGCTCCCCATACCAACTCCGTCCCTGAGGTTATCGCAGATTAGAAGGCGAATAAAATGCATTCACGATTATATGTTTTCCAAGCTCATTCAGTCCTCCTGCACTGATAGGGCACAGTTGAATGCATGGAGGCATTAGGTGGCAGAGGCCAGGTATCAAGGACACACTCTGCCAACCTAAAGCACTTGGTGGGGACATGCACAATCGACTTCTATAAAATTGACCGCATTTTGTACTGTAGATATTTCCGAGGTGGTGTGGTGAATCCTAGGTCATCTCCCGCCCATTACTAGGGGAACTCCATCTGTTTGGGTAAGAAACTAAAAGTCTGGTGCTTAGCCGAATCTCTTGGGTCAGCAAAAGTGGGGTGAAGATGCCATGAGAACAGGCTTATATACGCTTTCAGGTGTTTGGGGAATCCTCAAGAGAAGGAGGGTCTTTGGTTCCAATACTTACTCACTTTGGCTCATCGGAACCTCCCTATAAGTACTTTAGGACATGATGCAAGTCAGCTTCTGTCTGACTTTTCCTTAATAGCAGGGGTTTCAGTCTGTGGGTCAGCCGGTGAGTGCAGAACTAGTTTCCCACTTGCTTAGGGGCTATGTTTACTGTGTGGATCAGCTTTCTGGTACCATGCGGAAAGGTGCCTAAAGAATCACCATAACTAGAGCTAAATGGAAAATGTCAACAAATTAAATGTGGAGGAAGAGCCAGAACAAAATTGTCTGCAAAACTTTGTTCGCGCTTTTCTAACCAGCTCCAGTTGCAATTAATATACTGTGACCAGGGCCCTGATCCTGCGAACACATGAGAAGTGGTTTCTATGGAGTAGACCCCTTGAACTCAGTGGAGAGTCCCACGTGTTCGGTAGTAAGACACCATATCCAGGATGTGCTCAGTGCTCTGTGTCACAGGGTGTTTGAGCTGCAGATTAAATGAGCTCTTGCTGTAGGAAGTAAAAGAAAGTCTTAATAAAAACAGGCGAGAAGAGAGAGCATCTGAGCTGAAAGAATACAGATTTATTCCAGCAGGTGGGTCTGCTGGGTTAGTTTTGCTGCTGTTCCGTATTAATCAAGGTCTGTCTCCGGTGGACCAGACTTACAAAGCTGGCACCCGAGTCACCCTTTGGGAGGGAGAAGATTCAGAAGCAACTGGGAGAAAACAGAGGATTGTGCAGTGAGATGGTCTCTGACATTCTCCTCAGACCTCTCCTTATGTAAAATAGCATGGCTGGTTCCACAGCTGGATCAGTGGCTGGCAGTAGCACATGGACTTGGGGATGGCCGAGATCGACTGATGGCCTCTCTCTTTAACCCTGCCACAGAATCCCTGCTGACTCCTGACCTACTACCCTTGGCGCCTGTCCCCACCTGGACAGTTGCATATTCCTACAGGTAGGGAGGTGGCCTTCAACATGTGGGCTTTGCTGCTGGTGTTTTAGGCTGCTTTAACTCTACAACAGATCCCTGACATTTAATCGTGCAGCAGAGAGGGACAATGGGCCCTTAGTGTTGCTCAGGAGTAATATCCCGGCTCCCTGGGCTTGGCAGCCTGCACCGGCAGCTGCTCTTCTCAAGCTCCTTACAGTGAACACCAAATGAAGCCTCAAAGGACAAGCGATCTGCAGCATCTCTCTCCCACTGAGCTTTAATAGTAGAGTCTGCAGAAGGAAGGGGCACATGAAGTGGCTTTGCAAGCAGCCACGAAGCTTTCCTTCCTGCACTTTCCTTTACTGCCCAGGCCATTCTCTAAGGCAGCCTGGAGGGCACTTTGGAAATGTTCAGAGGTAATAATGCCCTTGGTCGGGTCAACAGCAGGGATTGAACCTGGGCCTTCTAGACCTGGATGAACCATAAGGTTGGTGTCAGCAATAGTGGACTCAAACTCTTTACATGGTCCAGCCACAAAAGGGTGACTCAGGGATGTCTACAATGAAAAGAACAAAAAATAAAAACCACCCACCAAACCCATGAAAGTGAGTCTTAGAGCCCGTGCCTGCAGACTACAGCTCACAGGGATCATGCTACGGTGTTACAAATAACAGTGTAGATGTTCACACTCCAGCTGGAGGTTAGGCTCCAACACCCATCCCCCCTCACTGGGCTTCACAGCCCAAGCTGGAAGGACGACACTCAAGTTTTTAGTGCAATAGCAGGAGCTCCGTGAGCCTGAGTCAGCCGAGACAGATTCTGAGACTTGCTGCTACCGCAGGTTTTTTAAGTCTAGACGTACCCGAAGACACGAGTCCGCTGCAGGTTACACAGAAACAAACGTCATTGTTTAGGCAGGGTGAGGACTGAAGTTAAACCTCCACCCAAAAGTGTCTAGTCAATGTAAGTAGCACTAGATTGAATTTACTGAGACTCTTGTTGGGCACTCCGAGACATGGAGCCAAAATTCTGCTTCCACTTACTCCCAGTTTACACCAGGGCTGTTTCCAGTGGATTTATGGCTGTAGCAAAGCAGTACTTGGCAGTCAAACTCTGAATCCACCTCCATGTATCTCTTCTAAATGAATCACTTTGCACTAGCGGGATAAAGTGGGAACATGCCCAGGCCATATTTCGGTTGTTTACTGTAGGGGGCTTAGTCAAATAATGAAAAAACACAAGTAGAACACACACCCAGACATAAATAGAGATTAGGCAAAATGCTTCTTTAGTCCCTGCAAAATCCTTGTTCCTCTTGTCATCAAATTCAGAATTCAGCTGTTCCAATGCTTCCTTTCACTACATATTATAGTGACACAAAAAGGGATCAATAACACTAACAAAAGACACTCTAAGGTGCCACAAGTACTCCTGTTCTTTTTGTGGATACAGACTAACACAGCTGCCACTCTGAAATTTGAGTCTTCAAAGTACCTTACAAATAATGAAGCCTAAAGACGCCCGCCAAGTTAAATATCATTATCCCCATTTTACAGATATGCATGGCAGATAGTTGACATGACTTGGCCATGACCTCTGAAGGTGTTAGAATAAAACTGGTGAATTCCCAGTCCTCTGCTTTTACCATTGGACTACACCTCTCTTCCCATTGTTCTTTCGGACAGTAAATAGAGCCCATAATTTACTTTAATGATGTACTCTGTGACTGAATTATAGCATGAATTAATAGGCAGAGGCACCAAAGGATGTAAACCCCACCTTTGCCAGAAGGATAGCTACTGAATAACTTGCTACCAAGAGAATTAAAGCAAAGAAGGAGAGGTTTTTAAAAAAAAAAAAAAAAAAAAAAAAAAGGTGGGGGGCGGGGGAAAGGCATGTAAAATAGACACACTCAGAGATAAAAATGGAATAAATTCCCACAAGGAAGAGTTCACACCCATTGAAGTCAATAGGATTTTGTTACTGGTTTCCATGGGAGAGAGTTCATTATGTAAATCGCTTTTTTAATTTGGGAGCATGATGCTCACACCTCAGTGCAGAGGAATCCAAGCCAGAATTCAAATCTGAGGCATGGGAGGACCATCTGATGGTCACCTTTAATTTCTGTGGATTATATGGTTAGAAAACTAGGATTGTGTAATCCATACAAACAAGTGAAAGGGACAGGTTATTTTTTGCTTGGAAGCCTCATTATGGTTTTTATTCAATCAAGAATCTCTTTTTATAAAGGAGACACCTATTTATTTGTCTTGCCAACCAGTTTGTGTCTGAGATTGTTTGGATAGCTGGTTGCCATTATAGTCCTGCCAACAGGTGGGAATGACACCCATTCTCTGCATCTCTGTCATGACTTCCCAGCCTCGTTTTCCTCCTGATTGACCAGATCAATTGATGTGAAGCAACAGATAATCTTGTGCTGAAAGGTCCCCGACGATAACAGTCTGAGACATGCCCCAGATGGTTAGCTGGAGGAAACGTGATCCAGCAAAACAGATTGTTTGTGTTCTCAGGTCTCAGTTGTGGAGTGTGATTTGCATGCAATTGGGATCATTAATGCAAACCTCAGAAGCATATATAAGCAGAAGGAAGAAAGCAAAACATACCTATCTTTCGAGAGGAACAGAAGCAAGGAGCATCTCAGTTTTGCAAGAACCTATCTACTGGTTCTGGGTTTACAAGCCACAAACTCATGAAAAAAATGTTAATTTTCATCAAAAATGTAGATGACATTTGTCAATTTTATTTATTTAGTAAATGAGGGGGGGGAATCATTTGCTGACAAGCCCTGTTATTAATGCATCTCTGCTGATCTTAGACTTCTCCCCTCTTTCCGAGAAGATCTCATGGTAAACAGGTGGCCAAGGATGAAAAGGAGACTGAACACCTGGAGGCCTCCATAGAGAGCTAGCAGGAACACCACATCAGTCTTCGTTTCAACACCTGCATGGGCGAGCCTGAGTGCCGTGAGTCAGCCACAAACGCCATCCCGCTTAATAAGGCAAAACTCCGTCAGCTTGGCTGATGGCATTTCCCTAACCGCGTCCATCACAGGCACAAGGTTAGCAGGGATGGCTTGAGAACAGTCTGACAAGCTCTTTTCAGGCTGATGCTCAGAGTAGGATGCAGCCCTCCTGGGTTGAGGAAAAAGTTGTTCCCAGAGAACAGCCTTCAAGAGTGGTGCTGTCACCACCCACCACCCCGTGTCACCCAGTGACAGTACACAGGCTGGAGTGCACGGTGCTAAATGGCTCTTTATTTCCAGTGTTATCCCCGGTGTTATTTCCAGCCGCAACAAGGACCGTTGGAGGGAATGCATGCACGCTTGAGCTCCTTAAAAACAGGAACTTCCAATACAGGCCAGTGTTCAGGCCCAAGAGCTGAGTTTTATAAAAAGTTTTAGTTGTGACTTTCACTCAAATCTAATGCAACTTCACAGAGCTTTTGATTCAAACAGTTCAATTAATTTAGTAGAGAGACTGAATGGTCAAGGGTCTCCAAAATCATGTGATCTTTAAATTAAGCAAGACACCAACTGAAGCCAATAAGAGGCTGGATTACAGACCACAAAACTTTGCCCCAAGGTTATTAAGAATTTGCAGGCTTTGAAGCATCTTTAAGAAAGGAGCTTGAATGCTTTTGATGAAAAAGGCGGGGTAATGCTTGTACTTGTATTTTCCTTGCCAGATAAACAGGATTTGCCTCTTAAAAGACCACCAGCAATCAGCATTCTCCCCTGACCTTCCTCTCCAAGTAAATGCATGAGCTCTATTTTAAGACTCCACAGGAAATGGTTTCCCTTGGATTGTACTTTGGGCACCTTCAGGTATATAGTGTTTTCTGGAGACATTTGCAAATGTGACACTGCCTTGTTTTAAGAGTATCCTACGTTTGAACTAAAGCTCTCCTAAAAAAGACTGTACTGTACCAGAGAATCAGTTGTGTGACTTGACAGAGGCTACTCACAATTCGTAACGTATTGTAATTTCATTGGTTGCATCACCTATGGTAGCTGTAAAGCTAGTGTCGCCCTATCTGAGGGAGGGGATGGTATTAGGCACTAAAATCAGGAATCTCTGAGTCAGTCACATGCAAAACCTACTCCCTTTTCTTGTTGCTTAACCTGTGTTTACTTAGCAATATCTCTGATGCAAAACTAGGGTGGGGATTAGCATAAGCAGTGGAGCACCTTGTAGCATATGAAACTATGAACATTCAAAGAAAGAGGCAAGATACAGGGAAGGGCTTTGATCAGGCAGAACATAGCGTTGTCTGAAATCAAAATTCAACTAAATCTGCACTTAGACTGCTTAGCAGTGAGGCAATAGCAGGCCTGGGATAAATCCACCGATAAGTCTTAACATGCTGGCTTGAAAAACTTTATTTAGTACCTAAACATCCAAAATAAAGTATTACAATGCAAGAGCTACTAAAGGCCTGATTCTGCGACCCTTATTTGTTTGAATAAGCTTCCAGAATGGATGGATCTCAGCCTCTGCGCCAATGTCCCTTGTGCCTCCAAGGAACCCCATTGACTTGGAAGGAGACAGTCGCAGGACTGAGGCCTAATTTTGTAATTAGCCAAATGTACTGCCACTTTAAAACAAAAACCCTCCACAGGAAAAATACTTGAGTCCCTCTTTGGATTTATAGCAGTAATCAGAAGGGAACAATTTTTGAATAAAGTCTCATGGCACTTTTAATAGTGCCTATTGTCCTCATCTGAATTTCCCCAGCCTGAGATCTGGATGTAATCCCTCTGTATATCTTTAACTTTTGTCAGTGTGTCAGCTACACAGCTAAATAAACAATACTTCCACCCTTGAATTTACAAATGTTTATTGGAATCTAAAAATCCAATCCAATCCAATCCACATTCTGTTATCTGTAATTTGGTTCAGCTCTAATAATATTTATCTGACGCTATCCCACCTAAGCCTCCAGGGTGTTAAATTTACAATGAGATACAAAAAAAATCCACAGAATAAACAAACGTCACACCCCACAGTTCCTCAAAAACAAGTTACCTACAAAACACATGTCCAAAAGCTCATTTAAACCCCAGAAAAGAAATGCAAGTCAAATGTGTTAGCAAAGACTAGAACAAAGCAAGTCACAGACCACGTTCTTCAGAGATCTGAGAATCCCTTATCAAGCCACATATTAAGCTAGATTTCTCAGTTTTTGTTAGCTATTAAACTTGTTTAGAAACCTTTCATTTTCCTTGACTTTACAGAGTTTGTCACTTGCTGCTCATGCAGAGGATCACAGGTTCAAACATGTTTCCCTTTAATCTGCTCAGTCCTAACAAATACCTCCCATAGTTTCCCAAACTGCATGAATGATTAATAGGGCTCTGCCTAGCAGAATTCATACTGTCCACACCAGAGCTCCCCAACAAGGGTATTGCTGCTCCCCCACCCCACATATCTAAACTATGCCAGTCACTGCTTGGATTCAAAGCGGGAGGCTAATCAGGCCAGGTAGCACTTTGAGAAGGTGGGGGGATTTGACTTCTTTACTGCCTTTCTCCTGAAAGCCCAAATAAAGAAAGATACTAACCGGGACCACCTTTGCCCTCAGAAGTGACCTCTTGTGTGAAGATCCAGGGTGGATTTGTGGCATAGAGGGAAGTGTTGTTGGCATGTTTCTTCCCAAAGAGTTTGCTAAACGTCCCCTGCACAGACTGATTCTTCTTCATCTTTGCTCAAATCCCCTGCTGTGCTCTGCTCAGGTCTCCAGTGTTTCCTTTAGCAAGACATATTTCCAGTGTGCCCTGTCACCACCCAGCTGAAGCTAAAACAGGTGTTGGTCTGCAGAGCTACCTTTTCGGCTGCTTTAAAGGTAAACACCTGAGCAGGTAGAGGGCTGGCTGCTCTTACCTGGCCACGCCCAACAGCAGCTCCAGGCTTGGTCACATTCCTTCCTTCCTGCTACAATGAACCATTGTTAAACTCGGCCAATCTCCAGTCCCTGCTGCTCAGGGATGTTTCGTGGATCTCTCCAAAACACTGTGATACCCAGGAGAGGATCCAACAGGTCCACAAAGCTGCTCATTTGCTCGTCTCTGGTCATGATAAAAACATTTACACTTTTCATTCTCCCTCCTGTTTTTTAGAGACAAACTAACAGCAACAAGTGTCAGTCAACTAGTGAATTTATTTCATAGTGCACCACATCTTTTATCTGTCTCTTCTAATAAGGAGACTTAAGGCTGGAGCACTGAAAAATAAATGGCCAGAAGAGCCAGTCATTTCTGTGTGGTACTACTGTTGATTAAATATCTTGGTCATCAGTAAGTGTACTTCTAACTAGTATATGCATTGAGTCAGGGTAGCAGAAGCAGATACTTAAAGTCTGTGATTTTTCTCTTTCTATCGTTACTTCCTTCTCCTCTGCCCTCCTTTGCTCCCCACTTATCTGTTTATTCATCTGTTACATATAGTCTAAATCCTGGATGGTGGGCTCTTTTGGTTCAAGACTGTATTTGCTCCCTTGTTTGTAGAGTGCCTCTTGTAATGGGACCCTAATCCTGTTTGAGGTCCTTAGATGCTACTGCAATAGAAATAAATAACAATTGTCTTAGGACAGCTAATAAGTTTAATCATTTTGCTCCATCGTGTATTTTCCAGAATGCAAATTGGCAGCTAGAATTTAGATGGTGTGCTAATAGCTACGGGACTGATCCTGCAAGCTGATTCATATTGGTGGGCTGGGCCCCTGTGCCTGTGCAAAGTCCTGATGCCTTCCTTCACTGGGACTGTGTCTCGGCAGAAAAGCCTGTCTGTGCAGATTAGTTTATAGGACTGGGGCCTAAATCACAGTCTAAGAGCTAGTTAAAGTTTATGGAATTTGACCACAACTATAAGAACATAAGAACTGCCATACTGGGTCAGAGAAATGGTCCATTTAGCTCAGGACCCTGTGTCTGACAGTGGCCAGTACCAGAGCTTCAGTGTATAGGAGTGTACAGACCAGGGCAATTGGAGTGATCAGCCCGTCTTCTCCTCCCAGCTCCTGGCAGCCAGAGGTTTAGGGTCACCCTGACCATCTTGGCTAATAGCCATTGATGGATGTATCCTCCATGAACTTATCTTGTTCTTTCTTTGACCCAGTTATACTTTTGGCCACCACAATATCCCATGGCAATGAGTTCCACAGGTTAATTGTGCAGTGTGAAAAAGTACTTCCTCTTGTTTCTATTAAGCCTGCTGCCTATTGATTTCCTCATGTGACCCCATTTTTTTGTTTTTTGGGAAAGGGTAAATAACACTATATAATTGATTTTTCTCTTAAGTACAAAAATAGGTATCATTCCTTGAATTAATCCCTAACATTGCAAGCTATTTCATATGTGGTGCAAATAAATATTGCAAGTTAATGAATAATAACTTCAGTTAATTATAAATCTTGGGAATTCCATAGCATTTTATGCCTTCAAAAAGTCATTCAAACATTAACTAACTCTGAAAACAGCACTGTGAGGTGATGAATGAAAGTATTATCTTCAGTTGTACTTCCAACTCAGCTAATAGGGTCAAAATGTATGTAGATTCCATTACTAGAGTAAATTCTGGAGATGTTACCGCCTGTCAGCTCACTTTTCCCACATTTTTACCTTGCCATAAATTACAAAAACTATTAGAGAAACAGATGCAAAAGCCTTTCCAGAGTTTTGAATTTAATCTCCCAATGAATGAGTACCAATGTAATACTCTGAAAATGGAAATCCAACCCAATGACAGTGTATTCAGAACTGCCAAAAGCCACTGAAAAAATGGATCTTACGTCCAGGGCAAAATGGGGGTAATATTAATTGCTGTATTAATGTAAATGTCTTTCTCATCATGAACCTTTGTTTTTGTACTTTTCTGGAAAAATGAATAGGAGAAACCGTTGGCAGTGGGACCTAAGCCACTCGCTGCAGACCTTTGATTCAGGAAATAAAACCTAATCTCCTATAGATAACATTCCTGCATTATGGGTTACAGTTGTGCTCAGTGCGGGGCACGAAAGAACCAAAGGAAGGGACTCATAGTAGCTATAAATTAGGGCTCAGATTCTGCGGCTTCACTCATATTAAGTAATCCCTTCCTCTAAGATGAATCCTCCTGAAGTCCAACGGGTCTCCTCTCGGAGTAAGCTACTACCCAGTGTGAGCAAGGGTGGTAGACTCTGGCCCACAGTCTTTTTAACAGCTCTTTTCAAAAATGTTTGCATTTGTGACAAACTAAGGAACCGATCTGGCCAACCTTGACACTTATGATTCACTTTATCCATGCCTTGAATTCTCCGGGACCACTTAACTATGCACAGTTATTTTGATGTGTCATCTGGGCCTAAGTCAAGGTCAAAATAAGGGAACAGTATTGCCTGCAGTTATGACAGGTAATAAGATAGAAGCTATAAAGAGACATTTGTCATAAGGGAGGGTTTGTGGAAAAAACAATGTCAGCTCTTTGCCAAGGCCCACCCTTCCTGCACCCCGGATGTTTAAAGAAAATCTCCAGGTACCTCTTATGACTGGTGGTCAAACCAAATGAACACTTCCCCACCCCACTGCTGAGTAATATCAGCTTAATTTCCATCAGGTGTAGGGTAAATGCAAAATATGTACATTATAAGCAAACCAAACACTGTATCTTTGTGAAATATGCAAGACATTTGGCAAGTGCCACCTGGTATTTGCAATGTTTGATCAAACCAGTTTAACCGGATATACGTATATAGACAAATTAACTCAAGGAGCAGGAGGGGAGGGAAGAGAGGAGCTGATCAACAGAGAAGCCAAGAGAATGATATAGAGTGAGAGAAATCCACAAAGCTTTTGAGAAGAGCTGTTCCATGAAGGCGCTATGGCTACAGCCAACATAATTGCCCAGTGTTGTTACTGGTTAGTAGTAAAGTAAGATTCAACTCACTGGCACCTCTTTTCAGAAAAGGTGCTTATATACCCGAGTGACGAGGGCCATGTAAGAACCTGGATAGAGAGATTTCAGAGTAACAGCTGTGTTAGTCTGTATTCGCAAAAAGAAAAGGAGTACTTGTAGCACCTTAGAGACTAACCAATTTATTTGAGCATGAGCTTTCGTGAGCTACAGCTCATCTGATGAAGTGAGCTGTAGCTCACGAAAGCTCATGCTCAAATAAATTGGATAGAGAGAGGAAGTCAGAGCCAGTGGGTGAAATCCTGGCTCTGCTGAAATCAGTGGCAAAATTCCAATGGGCTTCAATGGTGCCATGCTTTCACCTAGGCTGAATAAATGACCAGACTTGGTCTCATTCATATAGATGCACATGTATGTTATTGTTTTACATGTAAGGGCCCCCTCCCTGAGTCTCTCTTTTCCCTTCCCAGTTGCAGGTAGAAGGCCCACCCAAGCCAGCTCATACATCCCCACAGGAGGTGGGGCCAAGGGGGATAGCGGTGGGCACTTCAACAGACTGCAGCAGTTTCAAAGGCCCTGGGAGATCAGGAGGGGGAAGGTGGCATGGCAGGACCTACACTCACCCCCCGCCCCAGGGCAACAGCCAGTAACAGTCAGGAAGGGAGGTGATAAAGAGAGACAAATTCCTCTCAGCATAAGGGTATGTCTTCACCAGTCTTTTTTTACTTCCAGTGAATTGATTGCTAACTAACAAGTAATACTTAACACCCTTATACAGGTTGTTGTGCACATCCCCACCCCAAGTTTGCTCCAGACTACAAATATTTGTTCTCTACCCCAGGCTCATCCCTAGGCTAGACTGGGCGAGGTCTGGGGAAGAGCACTGATGAACCTTTGCAATGTGCTTGAAGGTCTCTGGTAGGAGGCGACAGAAAGTTAGGATTTATAGGGTGAGATTTTCTAAAGCGCTCAACTTTTGTCCTAATTCTGCTCCCATTGAAGCCAACTGTTTTTCAGTGGGAGCAGGAAGGCCAACAGTGTGGCCTTGTGGAAATCCCACCCATATACTGTGCTGGTGGGTGCTCTTTGTGCCTAAGACAGAGAACAATGCAAAATATTGGGATTGTATATAGTTGGCATGTCACTTTAAGTATTCTCCACTTCTCCAAAAACAAAGGCCAGGTACATGCAAGATATTATTGGAAACCACTGTGATTTCTTCATGCCAAGTCATTTTCCTCACAACAAAATCCTGTCTTGCTGTCCATGTTTGTTGAAAATGCACACATTACTGTTTCTAAAAACAGAAGTGGAAATATTTTCCAAAACACAGTACTTGTGTGTGTGTTCGCTCTCTTTCCTTCTCTGTTTTTATTGCATAAAAGTAAACACATGTGACCTGCGAACTAAGTAAATACTAAGCCAAGAATAGCAGAGTGAGTTAGACACTGATAATGAAGAAAAGCACAAGACTGAGCAAGGAAAACTCTGGCTCTCTGGAAACCCCTCTCAGTTTAGATCTTGTCCATCAAGTTTTCTCTGAGCTTCACAGGGGCTTCGGAGGGGTATCACTGCTGATTGACATCTGGATTCTACAGCTGTCAAGCTGTCAACTTTCTGCTAGCAATTATTTTTCTTTGTCCAGCAGTTAAAAGTTGTTCACTGTCTCTGTGAGAACACCTGATGCCTGTTATGTGCCTAACAAAGTCCATTATCTGCTGTAGGAATAGCTTCTTTTGTGCTTTAGAAAAAATAAATCAGCAGCAGAAATACAGGTTGTGATGTCAGCCTTGTCATTTGAAGGAACAGTTCCACTATCTCAGGCAATAAGAGGGCCAGCCGACAATGGCCTGGCATATTTCCTCCAGAGGAGGGCAGTGCTTTACACAAACAAATTCCAGTGTTTCCAATGAGGCACCTACATAAAAACAGTCTGATTTTAACGTGGGAGCTACAGATGCTCAGCACTTCTTTAGGAGTGGATGGCCATGTGCATTTAGGTGCCTATCTGAAGGAAGCTGTGTATGGCCTCCACCTATCCATCCCATCGTATATTACGAACTGCATCTATCCTTACATAATGACATTATCCTTTTAAAGCAGGTCTATTTGTGAGCACCACAGCTGTCAACTGAGATATTTAGAATTCCAACAGAAACAGCATACACATTCCACACACGTAGCACGCCACCAAGTTCCTGATTGTTAGTCAGAAATAAATGCTACTAGGAAACAAATGACTTAGGCTGCCAAAGACAACCCAGTAGATAGATGAGTTTTCATTTGGCATTCTAGGAGCCGGTGATGTCACTAGCACTCCCAATTTCCCAAACACATCTGCCATGACAGGGACAATGCCAGATTCCATACCAAAGCCTGGTCTATTTCCTCAATGAGTTATTGTAGAAAAGGCAGGTGTATGTTTGTGTCATATCTTAAAGCACAATACCTGTGGCAGGTTCCATTACTCAGGAACACAAGACTTCTATGAAATACCTCTTATTGCATGAAGTGAGTTAGTTATTCATGCAACAAAGTGATAAGAAACTTTGCTACCTGGTGAGGAGCTCATGTAAATAAAATATGTAATCCTGCAGAGGTGTAGTCCCTCTCTTCTCAGATTTAGCTGTAACAGGTTGAGGCTGGAGCTCACAGACAGCTGAAGAACAAAGTGACTGGTGTGGCTTTGACAGCATTATCAATGTTATATTTCATCAGTGTGACATCAAATCTAGAAATAGGAGTAAGGAGCAAAACAAAGACATTTGAAATTTACAAGGGATTGTAAACTAAGGTCAAATCCTTGGAAAATTGGCTCAAGTGACATTTTTAAAAATTCAGGTGAACAGTATAAGTTAATAAACATGAATGTACAGATTACTTAATATACAGTTATATAGACTTGTTAATGGAGATAGATAATATAGCGCTTTGATGATGTAAAGACATCAGAATGGCGTGCTAAGTATTAATATCTGCATCAATAACAATTTCTTAATGTGCCTGAATTTTGAATAACGAGAACTTCCATGAAAACACTGGAAATTAACACAGTTTGGCACTGGCCAAAAGTATATCAAAATTTGGAAAAATGGCCTGTTTTCACAGCAAATTTTTTACACAAAGAAGATTTTCACTTTCATGCAGTGTTAGTGATTATTAACTAGTCAGGCATAAAATAGGGTCTGTTATAATTTTGCAAAGCATTTTGTTTATCACAAGATGAACTAGTCATTTAATAATAATATGTTTCTGATATGTATATTCTTGAGTGATTTTGCTGAATTCTCTATTCTTATGAAAGTAGATAGCTAGTGCGAGGCTGAGACTATTAAATTTGTTTCACTTGTCTCCTAAGCCCACTTTGAATTTGCAACTCTTGAGATGAAGAACTATTACTTTAATGCAAATCTGGTTCATCTGCGAAAACATCTGAAAGACCCCTTTCCTCAGCTCAGGGATGCTTCAAGAAAATATCAATATTCGGGGGAGGGGGGAGAGGTGGGGGGGGAATCATTCACTCAGAACTATTCACTCAGTAAAAAATGCATTTTTGTTAAAAACAAAGGTCTGTAATCAGCATGGCAGCTCCACACAGATGCATGAGTGAAGAGTTTTGTGCTGAGCAGTGCAGTGATATAACTACCAGTGGTTCCCTATTCTTACAAACCGTCCTTATAGGATTGTACAGCATTGTAATGCTGTGCTGTTCCTGCCTGGTCACTGTGCTCTGGAAGAACTGAACTCTTCTAGCAGTGTAGTTTGGAAGGGGAGCCAAGTTCTTTCATTAGGTGTTTGGTCCTTTTGTTTTCTCCTAAATAATACCTGGAATGTAGACAGGGTCCCTTCCTTCAAGCTGGTCCAAACAGGCAGACCCCAATCCACCCGGGAAAGTCAGCCCCTCCCCAATAATTAAGTTGGCTTAAAACCCACAATATTTTTTTAAAAAATAACACCCAGGTACTTTGTATGTGCCTTCTGCTTTGTGGGCCTTTCAGGGGCACTCCGGTCAATATTTCAGGCTCTTTCTCTGCAAGGATGAGGGCAAAAACAAACAAACAAAAAAGCAGAGGTTACTTTGAAAAATGAAAGCAGAGATTCACAGAACTCCAGGAGCTGGGGCTTCAGGGAAAACTTGAACTATCACTAAGGGACAAGGCATGGGCAAGAGCGGGTGAGGCTAGAGAGGGGCTGGAGTCCGGGGGGGCCCTGCGCAGATGCCAGGCTCTGCCCAGACAAAGCAGCTCAGGGGAGCAGGACCTTCCTATTCACAACAGCCCCCGATCATGGCCCCTGTCCCCACCAAAGTATATTCCCTGTGGAGCCCGGGGGGCGAGGGGGGCGCGGGGAGAGACGCCTCCGCCTCGTGCCCTGGCCCCCCAGCCCGGCTCTCCCGTTTGGGGGCAGGGAGGCCAGGAGCCCGCGGGGAGACCTGCCCGCAGCTGACGCCTCGGCCGAGTCACAATGGCCCGGCCCGGCCGCCCGAGCAGCGGGCCCCGGTCACCAGGCCCCCAGCGGCCGCGGCGGCACCGGGCTCGGCGGGCAGCCCCCGTGCGGAGCGGCCGGGCGGCGGGATGACGCAGCCGGGGATCCCCGCCGGGGGGGGTTCCCTCGCAGGTAGGAGCCCAGCGGGCAGGGGCGGGGCCAGCGGCGTCCTCCGGTCGGCACTGGCAGGACCCGCCCCGCCCCGGTCCCCAGCCGCGGGGCAGAGAGAGCCCGGCCCGGCTGCCCAACGCGGCGTGCGTGGGCTGGGGAGGGTGGGAAATCCGCGCCCCGAGGGCGGCGGGCGTGGTCAGGGCAGGGGGCGACTCCCCCAGCTCGGTCCTTTCGTGGGGAGACCAGAGCGTTCAGCAGAATCGCCCCAGAAAGTATTGGGGGGCTTTTAACCATCCTGGGAGCGCTGCAACAGCCCCCTCGAAGCAGAGCCTGGCCCGGGACCTTCCCCAGCAGAGCACAAGGCACTTGCCACCTGGGCATGGCCCTGCCGCGCCAGGGCCTGTCCCTCTAGCTCCGCGCACATCTAGCGGGGAGTCAGAGTTTCAGAAGCATCTAAACAAGGCGGAGTCCGGTGCCACCTTAAAGACTAACATTGATTGGGGCATTTCGCGGGTGAAAGGGGTGCCACCCGGACTCCTTATTCTTTTTGTGGCTACAGACTAACACGGCTACCCCCTGCTGCTTGAGAAGCACCTAAGTAACCTAGGAGCCTAAGTTCCATTTTCAAAAGTGACTCTGGCCTGTCTGCACACTAAAGTTGCCCTGTCTTAACTATACTGGGAGTAAGTACCCTGTAGCGTGGATGCAGTTATAGATATAAATATGTTTCTATTGGTATAGTTTATCCTTGTATGGGATGGGGAACATATGATACTAGTATAATCATCTTTGTACTGGTCTAACTGAACCTACACCAGGGGTTGGACTGGTGTAACTATTTAGGGTAAAATGCCCACTCCCAGCTGAAATGGCTGTTCTGGCACAAAATCTATGTTTAGATTGGGCCTTAGGTACTCAGACCTAGATTTTTAAAAGGTTTTTAGGCATTGCTGCACTCAGCCTTGCAAAGCCAAACTGATTTAGGAACCTAAATTGCATTTCCAAAAGGCATTTAGTCAGTTGATGTGATTTAGGCTCTTAAGTGTCTAAATCCCTTTGGAAAACAGGACACGGGTGCCTAAGTCACTTTGGTGATTTTGAAAATTTTATCCTAGGTGCTTTACCGATGAATTTGAGGAAAGGTCCCGACCTTGAAGAGCTTGTCATCCAAACAGACAACCATAATGAAATGTCAACATATACATACACTACGTGGATCTAAATCCTCAATCCACACTGTGCGTGTGCTCCTTGCACACCTATCTCTACTCCTTCTCCCCGTCCTCAGCCCTAACTCCAAATATTCAACCTGCTGTAGCACACACACACCCCCCGCCATTCTGGCAGCAGTGACTGGGTGACGCTGGTACTCTACGCGTGTGTTATCTTTCCCTATGAATTGTGAGAGAGGCCTTTTTTTTTTTTTTTTTTACATGAATTACAGCAAACCATGACACATCAGGGCTGTCAGAGACACTGCTAATATGCTGAACAGCTGGCCCATTTAATGTAAGGCGGCTCTGGTCCCTTCACGGCCATCTCATGTCATAACAATGTTTATTGATTTATGACCTTCCCCTGAAGCACCTGGTGCTAGCCACTGTCAGAGGCAGGCGTACTGGACGAGATGGACCAGGGTAATGCAATTCCTGTCATCCCTTAACCTCATCTCAAAAGTGCACATGCACGGGCGGTAGTGTTGTTCATGGTTACTGATGTGCATGTCACTGCTGTGACCAGCTGTAGAAAGGGTCCTTGGAAACCAGCTGGATAACATAGAAAATACCTAGAGTTTGGGAACACCCACTGTTTTGCTGCTCTGTTAAAAGCTGTAGTGTGTGTGGGAATGCAGAGTGCCCCATGTCCTCTAGGTTAGTTGCTAGTGAATGCTTTGAGCACAGATCAAGCCAAGCAAGGAGAGCTGTCTGTTTCAGTTTTAACCTATGCTGCCAAAACTCACAATTTTATCTCCAGTCGCATGATACCTGGTGTTTTTCTTGAAATCCCAGCTCCTTGAGCCATGTAATGTCATGAGAAGCTCAGCTTTCATTAAAAAAAAAAGTTTCTAGCTTTCAGGGTTACAGAAAATATGATCCAGCTGCATCTGAAAGGTTCAGAAAGCACATAAAAAGTGCCCAAAATTCATTTTAAAAATGCATGATTTTTAAATCACTCTTATAATTTTTGGAGCCTGACACATGTTTTTTGAATACGTCGGGTGGACAATACTGAGAAGCAAAAAGTCTCCTTTATAGTCAGCACTAACTACTCTGTTTTTTCCCCTTGCATTTAATTTTCTCCACAATCATGTCTTTTAGATAAGGACTATACTAGATGCTGAAGTACTTAATCATAGAATCATAGAATCATAGAATATCAGGGTTGGAAGGGACCTCAGGAGGTCATCTAGTCCAACCCCCTGCTCAAAAGCAGGACCAATCCCCAATTAAATCATCCCAGCCAGGGCTTTGTCAAGCCTGACCTTAAAAACTTCTAAGGAAGGAGATTCCACCACCTCCCTAGGCAACGCATTCCAATGTTTCACCACCCTCCTAGTGAAAAAGTTTTTCCTAATATCCAACCTAAACCTCCCCCACTGCAACTTGAGACCATTACTCCTTGTCCTGTCCTCTTCTACCACTGAGAATAGTCTAGAACCATCCTCTCTGGAACCACCTCTCAGGTAGTTGAAAGCAGCTATCAAATCCCCCCTCATTCTTCTCTTCTGCAGACTAAACAATCCCAGTTCCCTCAGCCTCTCCTCATAAGTCATGTGTTCCAGACCCCTAATCATTTTTGTTGCCCTTCGCTGGACTCTTTCCAATTTATCCACATCCTTCTTGTAGTGTGGGGCCCAAAACTGGACACTGTACTCCAGATGAGGCCTCACCAATGTCGAATAAAGGGGGATGATCACGTCCCTCGATCTGCTCGCTATGCCCCTACTTATACATCCCAAAATGCCATTGGCCTTCTTGGCAACAAGGGCACACTGCTGACTCATATCCAGCTTCTCGTCCACTGTCACCCCTAGGTCCTTTTCCGCAGAACTGCTGCCTAGCCATTCGGTCCCTAGTCTGTAGCTGTGCATTGGGTTCTTCCGTCCTAAGTGCAGGACCCTGCACTTATCCTTATTGAACCTCATCAGATTTCTTTTGGCCTAATCCTCCAATTTGTCTAGGTCCCTCTGTGTCCTATCCCTGCCCTCCAGCGTATCTACCACTCCTCCCAGTTTAGTATCATCCGCAAATTTGCTGAGAGTGCAATCCACAGCATCCTCCAGATCATTTATGAAGATATTGAACAAAACCGGCCCCAGGACGGATACTTATTATCTAATGCTGTTTGTTTAAAGGGTGTGGTAATTGTCTGCAGCATCTTTCGTATTTACTGATCTCAGTAAATATAGTGGAAATAAGCAAGAAAATAAGGTCCCAGTTCTCCAAGTGGGGCCAGATATTCAGAAGAGCTCTGCACCAAATGTGTACCCAATGTGTTGGTACCCAAGGTGCAAATGGGCATAAGAGTCCAAGTTATCCCCTGAGCTGTAATGTCCACACTACTATTTTTAATCCACTAGCTCGAGTCCCGTTAATGTCAGTCTGTCTACTGATGTTGGGAGGCTCAGTTCCAGATGCAATGTAAACGTACCATTAGTGACTTCAGAACTGGGGCTGAGACACTCAAGCCATCCTCTTTAGCTGGTCTATAGGGAGCAATTCTGCACATTCCAAGGAAGAAAAGGAGTACTTGTGGCACCTTAGAGACTAACCAATTTATTTGAGCATGAGCTTTCCTGAGCTACAGCTCACTTCATCAGATGTATACCGTGGAAACTGCAGCAGACTTTATATACACACAGAGAATATGAAACAATACCTCCTCCCACCCCACTGTCCTGCTGGTAATAGCTTATCTAAAGTGATCAACAGGTGGGCCATTTGTGCTGGAAATGGCCCACCTGTTGATCACTTTAGATAAGCTATTACCAGCAGGACAGTGGGGTGGGAGGAGGTATTGTTTCATATTCTCTGTGCATAAAGTCTGCTGCAGTTTCCACGGTATACATCTGATGAAGTGAGCTGTAGCTCACGAAAGCTCATGCTCAAATAAATTGGTTAGTCTCTAAGGTGCCACAAGTACTCCTTTTCTTTTTGCGAATACAGACTAACACGGCTGTTCCTCTGATTCCAAGGAAGGTCTGCTATCACCTCTCATTCCTATCGCACACCTGGCACAGAGGACACTGCCCGCTTGGAGACGGTCATTCCCAGAAGTAAATGCCATCTTCCCAAAGTCAAGATGCTTCAGACTGGGATAGAGGTGTCAGCAAATCATGTAGAAAGCCTGTAGTTCCATAAGGCTGGAACAAGCTGACCTCTCGCTTGCAAGCTGCAGCTAGGTCTGATGCAAAGCCCAGTGGAGCCAATAGGATTCTTAACCTTGACTTCAATGAGTTTGGGATTAGGCTCTTAGAAAGCAGATAAGCTTCTGAATTGTAGTGGCATCCTGAGAATATCTTCGAAGGGAAGATTTTTTTCTCTCCCCAAACAGCCACCACCAAGTGGAATCCTGCTGCCACAATGCAGAGGGAAGCACTAACCATTGGGGAGGATCAAGGAGGCACTGAGCTAAACCTGAGCAGCTCTCAGAAGCAGATGAAGGCTCCATGAAGAAATGGTCCTGCAGTGAGAGCATTAAGGCCTCTGGCAGCTGGCTGTTTGGGGAGTGGGTGACAGGAGCAGGGGGTAACTTTATGGGATGCTGACCCCCTTCCCTCAAAGACAGTAGGCAATTTAATTTACATAATCATTTTACTGAACTTCCTGTTAAGTGATTAATAGGTTGATGACCCAGTGGTCAAAGCCAGATATATAGGCTGAAAATAGATCAGCTGTATAAGCCAGGGCGTCATGGAAACCTCTTTACATGGTTAAAAATAAAGCTAGGCATCCAAGATTTTGTTTAGGATGCCCAACTAATAATTGAACAGGGAAAATTTGGTTCCCATTTCACCTTTCCAAGGATTACAGGCATCCTCAGTGAAAAGCAGCATATCCCAAGGAGCTCTAAGTGGTGGTTAAGTAATTAAGGTAAAAAACATAATGTCCCTGCCAAGAAAGACTTCAAATTACCAGTAGTAACGAAGTCAGAACAAGTGTGAGTGCAGAGGCAATTCTGGAGGAGCAGAACTGCTGGGTGATGTAGAGTCACTCACTACGCTAAATGTTTTATCTCTATATGTGCAGGGTAGATTTTACTTCTGAGAGATGTTTGCACCTTCCCCAAGTGACCTGCATTTTTGAGCCCTACGTGCATTTAAATCCTATTTCTGTTTTCATTCTTTCAGAGAATTTAACACTAGCACAAGGTGCTGCAATGACTCTCTCTGTTGACCCACAGAACAGATACAGCATGGGCAAGCTTTCCCGTGCCACCACATTGGTATGCATCAGCACAGAGGGATCACCTTTAGGGTTGAGAGAGGCATTTATGGCCTGTGTGGTCCCTGAATACTAGCAGGGCTTCTACCTGGTTGCAGTTCTGATGTCAGTGGGTAGCTGATCCATTAGGAACTGGACTAGGACCACCATCTAGTTGTTCATTAGCCTCTGAGAAATGAGTTTGATAGTAGCGACATCTGGTCAGGGCTGAATTCAGGCAGCTGACCGAGGGATGAAGGGCTGTCCTCTCCCATTTCCCATCTCCTGAGCTCTTCTGCTGCCGATGCACTGACTCCTGTTCAATAGTATCCCACCCGGGGTGTGTTTGTCATAAAGCTGGGTAAAAAAAGATCTGTGAAGAGAGAATGAAAATCTCTGGGGGGGAGACGAAAGACTAAATTCTGTCAGCAGAGAATCATTGCTGCGTGCTGTGTTTTACCTGGTGAGGTGCACCTTGATGTGAATCTGTTCACACTACTTGCTGTAAGAATCCCATGGCTTCATAACCATCACTGGGTGTAGAACTGAGACTCTTTTGTGCTAAAGAATTACGCCCTGACCCTTTAGTCTAGCACCCTAGGGATAGCTCAAAATACATGAACACAAGTGTGCTCTGTGATCAGGCTGGTATCACCTCATTCTGCAAAAAGATCATGTTAGTGCAAATTTGGAAGGTGGTGTTTCCACAGGGGATATGCTCAGCTGGAATAAGATAGTGAACTGTGCAGCATATTTTGGGTGTGGTGTCATTGTTGTCTCAAGACACAAGGAACATGTAGATCTTTATTGATTCATATTTTCCTCTCCATCTTTTGCATATTTGTGTGCAAAATAAAAATAGACCCACTGATGGATGTGCCAAGGTCGTGGCTAGGCCCTGCAAAGAACATGCCGTACAAGTAGCACAGAAATGCATGGCCTGGCCAGGCATCAAGAAGCCAGTGAGCAAGCACAGCAGTGTGATCAGGGAGTTGCTGATACAGCTGTGTGAATAATTTTACTGATGGTCTCACATCACTGACAGTTCCAAAAAATCAAATAATGTTTTGGTTCTGCTCAAAGTGAAAGTGCTTGTGTGTGTGTGTGTGATTGTGTGTGTGTGAGGGGAATTTCTGGCAAATTGAAACAGTTAGGAAAACTTTGGCTTCAAATGAAGCATTTCATGTTGGTCAATTTTAACAAAAGCGAAGAGCAACATTCATTAAACTGAGGGGTGGTACCCCGTTGTAACCTGTAGCCTACTGGTTAGGTCAGCTGGAACATGGGAGACCCAGTTTTGAATTACTGCTCTGGACCAGGAACTTGGAATACCCATCTCCCACATCCTACATGAGTGCCGTAACCAGTGGGCTATGTATCCTGGAGTGGAGCTCTCTACATCTGTTCTGTTAAAGTTGTTCCACTTTGTATAAAATATACGAGTAGTTACTTGGACAAAGAAAGTGCGAGTGACTCTGGGGCACTCACCTTTATCCTAGTCCGTACTCCAATGAACATTTAATTTTGTACAAATGCAGAACAAAAAGACAGTCCCTGCCCCAAACAGCTTCCAATCTAAGGTAAGTGACAACAGCTAGATATAGACAGACAGATGGGGAGCACAAGAAAACAGTTTGAAAGCTCTTTACACCCACTTTGCAGTAGTGTAATTGACTGCAAAAGGAGAAAGGTTACAGAGAATCAAGTCCTTCAGATCTAGTTTTATGTTTGGTTTGTGAATTCCCTTGGTATATTTTTTCTTTATTAGTCGTATTTGTAAAAAGATGCTGCCAAGTTAAAAATAATACATTTTCTTTAAATAATCCCCTACCTGTGCTACGAGCAACACCTCAGACACTCATAAAAGAATTTTAAATGGCCAGATTTTTACCATTTATATTAGTTATTGACGTTTTGCTGTTCAGTGTAACTAGACTGGCCACTTTCACTATTGGGCCTGATCTGTTTCACTTTCCAGTTCTCACACACCAGTGCAGCACCATTATGTTTGGATAGATGATAGAGAGAACGTGAAACTCCTACAATTCTGTGCAGGAAAAAAAAGGATTGCAATGTCTCTTTGTTTGACTTTTCTTTTCACAGGTCAGTGGGGCTCTGAAACCTGGAGCTCCCATCAATGCCTGCAAGAGATCAAAGGGAAGAGAAACAGCCAAAGTGTTACAGGATTTTCCTTGTCCCCTGCGCACATCCAAGGATCAGTCCTCTCCAATAGGCTATTGTAAGGACCAATCTTTAGCCTCTATGTTTGTTCCTTTCGTCGTACACCCGGGGAGTCATAAGCCTGATTCGCTCAAGTTTGTCTTCTATAAATCGAATTACTCTAATTCGTACGTGCCATTTTATACTGCGCAGAAGCCAACCTGTGGGTACCGGTATTGCCGGGACACTGATCACACCAGGAAGGTGATGGACGTTGAGCGTGCAAACATTGTCAAATGGAGACCCATTGTTGGGACGAAACCACAGTTGGTTACAATAAACTCAAAGCAATGAAACTGACAGTATGCCTGGCCCGAGCCTCTCATTTGTGCAGGATATTCTAGTGCAGTGTGTGGGTTGAAGGGGAAAGGTAAAGCTTATCTGGATGGCTCTAGAAGACCACTTGGGAGACACTGCAGGAGCTAAGCTTTCACAGCAGCCTAGGAAACAGCTACCGTCACTTCTACACAACTCCTTCCAGAATGCAGTGTAGTCGTGTAAACCTACCATTGCGGTTAAGTTACCAAAACTAGCCACGAGCTGGCAAATTAAATGAAGCCATATAAAAATTACAACTGGTGCCTGTGATAGCAATGCAGTGGATATGGGGGTTGGGTGACTCCATCCACCTGATGAATGCACTGATCTCTGAGAAATATGTTGCCTAGAGTGTGTGTAATTGTAATGATACAGGAAAACCCAGTCAGACTGGTTGTGTCCGTATTGCTGGGAACTCTTTAAATTGAGGTAGTGAGACTCAGCAGTGAGGTGCATAAAATATTGATTGTACTGATCATCTATGTACTGTATGGGTCTCCCCACAACTAAACACCAGATGTCTTGCCCCAGCATGCACTGGGCTCAGTGTAGAACCTGGGCTGTATTCCCTAGGAGCTGGTCTCTTCTTTGGTTTCCCAAAGTCCTGGTCAGACTCTGAAAAGCATAAGAACCCCTTCCTTGCTAGGCACGGTATGACATTGTGCCCAGAGAGGCAGAAAGCTCATTTTGTGTTTGGAGCTGTAAAAGCTTGTTTTGTGTTTGGTAATTGTCACTGAAACATATCAGGTACGGGGGAGGTCTTTACTAGCCCCGACTTAGACGAACCTGTAAAAGACGTCAGGAGGCACAAGGTACATGGGATTTTTTTTAATAGTCTGGCGAATCAAATGCACTGGCAGAAAGGTACAACTGTAATCATAATATTTTGCCCTTCTGTAGCATTGTGAGCTGATGGACTTCCCACTCTGCTCTGAACAGTGTAGTCATAAAGTCCAAACGTATCCCCTTTCCTGGAGTTTGGCTTGACTGGCAGTTGAAACAACAACAGTATGTCATAAATCTCAGCCCAAGTCTGGCTGGTCCTAGGGCTTCCCTGCTGAAATCTCTGTGCCCCAGACTTTGGGGTCGGATGATCATCACACACTTCCTAACTTGGTAGAATTAACAAGCCACGCCTGCTATAATGAGCCAGCAGAACTTACTCAGCAACTTTATGTAGGGTTCTAATTCTTGTTAACAGAGTGGGTTGGGGGAGAACCCGGACACCCCCTTAGAAGCACCTTTCAGCAAAGGAGTTTAAAGCATTTTACAAGTAATAATTAACTAAGCCTCATGACCACCCCCATGAGGTAGAAGACTATCATCATCCCCCTATTTACTGCTGGAAAACTGAGGCCCAGCGAGCTTAAGGCCCAGAAACTCAAAGGTGTTTAGGCACCCAACTTCCATTGAAATAATTTAAAACTAGGCATCTAAATAACTCTGAGGATCTGGGCTCTCGTGTTTAGCCTAACCTCATGCAGGGAGTTTGTGGCACCGCTGGGAATTTCACCTGGCACCTTGCAATATCCTGAAATAATTCAGGGCTTTCATTCTACTCACCGTGTGCTAGAGATTAGCCCGGATAGCCAGAGCCAAGTTTGGGTGTGTTTAAACCCGATCCATTTCAGGCCCATCTCTTCTGTCTGATCCTGCTAACAGCAGGTGCCACTACGTTTGCTGACTCTGAATTGAAGAATTGAGTGCACTTAACACGAAAGAACAGTGGCACCTCATACTTCAGATGCTGTCAAGATGCATAGGAGAGTGGAGGCCTCCATTTGCTTCATGCGTTCCCCCTTTAGCACTGAATGTGAGTCTGAGGGCTGTTTTCCCCTGGGTCCTGTGTATCTCCACCAGAAGCTCTTACAAAGCATTGATATTTCATATACTGTTAGCACATTGGTGTCTCTTGAGGTACAAGCCCACACTCTTTTATTAGTGGTTTATTTTTAGGTTGTCTGTGTATCTCCCAGTCCCAGCCTGATCACTGGGAACTGGGGATTGCTAGCGTGATGAGTAGTGCAGAGCAGACAGCTTACAGGCAGAGGCCACGCTGGAAAACAGCAGTGGAAAAAGGTAAATTCCCCCTTCCCTTAGGCCAGGGGCCAGGGGCCAAGACCACTTTTGCTGATTAGGGGGCAGCTCCCTGGCACCATGGCCCTGAGGGCCAAATCTGCTCTTCCTTTGCACTGGCACAAACCCCGATATAATTCCATTGACTTTGGATTCGGAAAGCAGATGTTCACAGGTGTATTTGACCCTAGCGGGTGCTTATATCAGCAGCAAATCTGGGGAAATCTCCTTACATCCTGCACATCTGCGAGGGTTGCCTTCGATTCCTCCAGTGACACAAGGTGTTTCCTTGCCCTGGATTTAATCCCTCTTGCACAAACCACACAGTGCTGTCACTCGCTGATCAGGAAGTGCTCTGCACCGCCCCTGACAGAGCGGCTCCTTCCCAAGGTACATTTCCCTTCAGCATGAGTAGGGGGAGGTGCAGGCAATGAGAATGCCACAATTGGCATGCAGAGGAAGGTCACTGACTACCCTTCAGAGGGTGCTGTTGACTCTCCCGGTGGGCTGGTCCTCCCCACGGGCTGGGGCAGAAAGGGAACCCCTGGCTCTGCCCCTCCTTGCCCCTTTGTGCACCTATTGTGCATCTGTAGGTTTGTTGTGCAGAGGGTGCGATTGTGCCAGGCCCTTACATTGGTTGCACATGGGAGGAAAGTTTCTTGTGCTCTCCTTCCTCATGTTAACACACATAAGGGCCAGGAACAATCTCTGCCATAAATAGCCCAGATAAGAAGGTCAGCGGAGGGGGTCAGAGGAGGACTTCTGCTTCCATCGAGGCAAAACATGGCAGGTGTGCAATGTATTAGGTGGTTAGTGCATAGGACTATGGGGTCAGGGCTCCTGGGTTCTCTTCCCAGCTCCAGGAGCATGTGCAGTATAATGGTTAAAGCAGAGGATGGAGAGTCAGGCACCTGGGTTCTGTGGCTGATTCTGCCATTGAATCACCTTCCTGTAGCTCAGTTTCTCCTCTTGTAAAATCTGTGGAAATAATACTGCTCTGCCTCAGAAGGAGGAAGTGTGAGGGTTAGTGAATTAATGTTTGCAAATTTCAGAGGAACAGCCGTGTTAGTCTGTATTCGCAAAAAGAAAAGGAGTACTTGTGGCACCTTAGAGACTAACCAATTTATTTGAGCATGAGCTTTCGTGAGCTACAGCTCACTTCATCAGATGTATACCGTGGAAACTGCAGCAGACTTTATATACACACAGAGAATATTTTGCAAAGCCCTTTGAGGCACACTCAGGTGAAAGGAGCTCTCCACGTTCACTTCATGGTTAGCACAGGTTGCTTTGTAGATGTCTGGGAAAGGTTTTGCTTCTGCGTGTTCACATTTTCCCTGTTGAATTTCTCGGTGCTGGCTTGTTGGAGTGCACTGCCCTCATTACACTGACTGTCACTGGAATCTCAAACCTCACAGTATTTCTGCTGGAAAAACCCTGTTTTCAGCCTTATATTATTCTTCCAGGTTTTTCACTGATGTTTACCCCGCTCGGTGTTTTTGCTGTTTAGCCATTGTCAAGCTTCTAGGAAATGTAGCTGACAAAGAGTTGGTGAAGTGTAACCAGCCTGCATACCTTTAATTTGAAGCCTTTCTTTTATTATTCGTAACTGCATAAATCCAGGGAAAGCAGCATCAGGCCATGTTCAGAAATTGGGCTCCTTGCCTTAAGGTGTGTAGAAGAGAAAAATATTTATGAATACTATGGTGTAAATCCAGGTAGCTCTATTAATTTTATACTCTAGCTGAGGATTTGGCCTATTACACATTTTAGGATAAATTTTTTGTTAATTCTTCTCTGTTTGTTGCACCTGAGATATGAAAACAACATTGGGCCCAATTCTCATTCATGCTAAGACCTTTTCACATATCTCTGAGGCACATCATAATTGGCGGCAGATCCTTAGCTGGTGTAAAGTGTCATAATGCCATTGAAATCAGTGGAGCTCTGACAATTTATTAACTGGAGATTTGCCCCCTGAACCCAATCTCTGCTAGGAGGGCTGCTAGTTAGTGCTCAGGATGATTCTCTTTCCTTGGTGTTGTTCTAGGCCATCAAAATCAACCCCAGCAAAACACATGTGACAGGAGCTGAAGTGTTCTTCTCCCCAGCCTCACTTTTCATTCTCAGGTTGTTGGCCACTTTTGGAAACCCTCTGACTATAATGGGTTCGAGAGGAGAAGTGAAAGGACAGACTAACAAAGGGCCTTCGGAGTACTTTACTCTCTTCTCTTTTGTTCTGATGTTAGTATCAGAGTCATCACTCACAGGGTCAGACACAAAATCAGAAATGAAGTGGATTAGGAGATTATGCTTGGAGCAAATCCTGCCACCATAATCTTACCTGTAATCTGCAGGTCTCCCATTTTACCTCCTTTCTATTTTAACCCTGAACTCTGGATGCCCCAGTTGGGATCCCATCACTGGCTCTTCCTCATTGGCTGGATTAGGATTTGCTGCATACTTAAATGTCAGGTCCTTGTTTGAAGAGGGTTTTGCGATTTTAAATTCACTTTAGGAAGTGTGAAACTCTCTCTGGAGGGGTGCCTTTTTGCAGCTCTGTGACCCATGACAGTGAACTAGAAAAATCTTGCACTTGGGTGTTTGGGTTCTCTAATTAGTGTAACTC